ATTAAAAGGTCCGCCGGGCCGTATACGGCCCGCGGGCCGTAGTTTGCCCATTGCTGGGCTATACTGACTACAGCACTGGTAGAAGCTGCAGGCTGTTCCTCACGTTTTAAGGTTGTGTGCATCACATCAATGGTGCCCAGAAGGGTTTTAAACTTTAGGAGTAATGGCTACAAGTCCTTCGGTGCAGGTCTGTCCACGTTAAGGACGACTGTCTGGTGTGGAGACCAATAGACTGCAGGCAGATCGGATACACATTCTGCAGGGTAAGGTGTAGGTGTAGAAGTGTACTTATGGCTCTCAGTCAGAATGAGAAATTAAATGTGCTGTATGGCCCATAAAAACCTGCATGACTGCGCAAAATCCTCCTGGGATACAGCTGAGAAGGAAGCCATGCCAAAACCGAGCTGAGGAACACAGAGGATAGCATAAACTCTAGCAGAGGGCAAGACTGCCGGCTGTGTGTCCAGTGCCTCAGGGGTATGCTATAAGCAATGTTGGAGTGTGAGTTGAAGCCACATAGTACAGCAAGACTGTTGCTCGTGCACTTAAAATCAGGCATGTTCTACTACATCAAAACATGATCTACAAGAATCATCCAACCCACCTACTAGTGAAAAACCCCTCTTCCAAAATATCAGTAAGTGCTCTACAAATGATAAATGTCCAAGCACATAAATTCACACAGAGTATTGAGTAAGTGTCCAGTGTCTTAAAGTCCAAAAAATTATTTTAATACGTCCCACTTGAAATCACTTCTTTATAGTGTTGTAATCCTCAGAGCAGCTTCCACAGAAACCCTCAAAAAATCAAAAAAATCCAACATAGTGCATTACCTTAATAATTTTAAAAATAACACTCCATACGTGCAACCACAAACATTAGTGCAAGAAAACGTGAAAAAAGAAACCACAGCAATGCTTATGCCAAACTGGTGATGTGTTTCACTCAGTGTAAACCACTTCAAATAGTGTATCACTTCTAATACTCATAGCATATATACCCTTCCCCTAATAAAATGAAAAAACGCTGCAAGATATCTAGCAAAGGATTCTGTAAAAACCACTCAGTCTCCTTGCCTCCACTCCTGACGTTATGATTAGAATGTCATCCCCTCATGGTACCGTAAGCCAGTTCCCCGGTCTCCCGGCTCCACGCAGGATGTATATGAAAAGATTAGAGTGCAATTCCGTTTCACACCATAAAATAAACTTTAATGTATCTGCTTACATGTATAAATAATAATCAGCACTTTAAAAGAAACCCCACACAGCTGGGGATTACCAGGCAGCTTCCAGATGGATAACAGTGCGGCTCCACACTCCAAAATGGCCACCGTATCACTTCCGGTTTCTGCTCTGTGCGTCCAACGTCACTTCCCAAAGCGTTTCGTCACATCCGGGACTTAATCTTAAGGGATTCATCAAGATTAAGTCCCGGATGTGACGAAACGCGCCAGCAGAAGTGACGTTGGACACACAGAGCAGAAACCGGAAGTGATACGGCGGCCATTTTGGAGTGTGGAGCCGCACTGTTATCCATCTGGAAGCTGCATGGTAATCCCCAGCTGTGTGGGGTTTCTTTTAAAGTGCTGATTATTATTTATACATGTAAGCAGATACATTAAAGTTTATTTTATGGTGTGAAACGGAATTACACTCTAATCTTTTCATATACATCCTGCCTGGAGCCGGGAGACCGGGGAACTGGCTTACAGTACCATGAGGGGATGACATTCTAATCATAACGTCAGGAGTGGAGGCAAGGAGACTGAGTGGTTTTTACAGAATCCTTTGCTAGATATCTTACAGCGTTTTTTCATTTTATTAGGGTAAGGGTATATATGCTATGAGTATTAGAAGTGATACACTATTTGAGTGAAACACATCACCAGTTTGGCACAAGCATTGCTGTGGTTTCTTTTTTCACGTTTTCTTGCACTAATGTTTGCGGTTGCACGTATGGAGTGTTATTTTTTAAATTATTAAGGTAATGCACTATGTTGGATTTTTTGATGGGTCCGTGGAAGCTGCTCTGAGGACAACACTATAAAGAAGTGATTTCAAGTGGGACGTATTAAAATAATTTTTTGGACTTTAAGACACTGGACACTTACTCAATACCCTGTGTGAATTTATGTGCTTGGACATTTATCATTTGTAGAGCACTTACTGATATTTTGGAAGAGGGTTTTTCACTAGTAGGTGGGTTGGATAATTCTTGTAGATCCTATTTTGAGGTTTGTAACTTTCTAGGGCGGAAAGTTATTTTATATTCGGAATCAAGTAGTTTATTGGGTGGTTTGGAGGATTTACCGTATTGTATACTTATGTTCTACTACATGGTGAAAAGCAACATAGCACAGGGTATGAGGTTAGACCTCTTATACTCCTAAACTCTGCTGCTGGGTAGCAGGTGTAGTGTCATGCAGCCAAAGTGACCACTTTAGTGGGCAGTAGTAACAAACAGAGGAGAGTTCCACATGTCTCTTGCAATCAGGATCAGTAGCGAGAAGGTGCTTCCTCAATGCTGACTGTGTGACAACTCACCCAGCAGATGAGGACAATGCTCGGTCCCTCAGCATTAACTCCTTCTATGGTAAACATGAAAAACAGGAACTTTAAGTGGTGCCCAACATTCCAAGTAGCAAGGTAGCCCACATGGCCTACTCACAGTCTTAGGAAAGGCTGATCTGGATAGCTGCATATAGAGACCAGCTCAAGCAGCTATGTAGCAGAAATCTTGACTGGAGAAAAAAAAAAAAAAAAAAAAAAAAAAAAAACTTGAAAAAAGAAAAATTCAGTTAGCAAAAAGTCTTTCCAAATAAAACAAAACAAATCACCAGCACTCAAATCTTCATGCTCCACATAAAAACAAAAACGGTATCTGTCACTTGATGGGGTGCAGCCCTCTAAAGATTGAGAAATCTTGATACCAACAAAAGAAAAAAAACAAAAAAAAAAAAAAAACGAAGTGAGCCCTTTTGGGTTTTCTTCTTTTGTTAGCAAAAAGTCTTGACTTTTCTCAACAGGGCAGAGAAATTGGAGTTCATCCTCCCAGGACCCAAAGTAAAAAAAAAACCTAAAAAAAAAGGTATGCTAAGTGCAGGGGGGGTTATACTGGGCTAGCTCATAATTTTTTGCTTGCCAGTGTATTTTACCCCTTAAGGCTACGTTCACACTAGCCTTGTTAGCAAGTGGCAGACAGGCGTTTGGGAAGCGTTTTTACCGTTTCCCAATCGCCTGGGAAAATTCTGCACATTGCAGCACATGGTGCTGTTCAAACGGCAGCGTTAGTGTCGCAGCAAAACAGACGCCTCTGGTCGAGTCAGGAGGAGTTGAAGCCTCCTATTCAAGTCTATGGTGCCGCTCCGTAAACGCCTAGCCGGCGTTTGCGACGCAGTTGCGGGCCGTTTGTGGAGCGTTAACAACATTCAAACTTCATTATAGGCGTTTGTGGGTCCGCGCATGCGCCGGACCAACGCTTGTCAAACGCTATAGGGGCGTTTGGCAAGAGTTGGAAAAACAGTCAAGTGTAAACGAGCCCTTAGGTGGCTGTATAACAGAATCAATTCTTGAGTCCCTCAACAGACAAAGAAATTCTCTATTATGAGACTAGTGAAGGGACAGAGTATGAAAGGTTTGAATTTCTTGTTCTGTATTTTTCATAAACCTAGAATGCTTTAACAAGTGTTATTAAAAAAATCCAAAACATAAGTACTTTTATATGCTGCTCTCTGACTTTATTCTCAGATTCTCATTATGATTTTCTAGAAATCAATAATGAGTTACACAGAATGATGGAACTGAAGGAGCCGTTTATACAATTTTTGCACATGTTTAAAGAAATTATTTTAAGCCTTAAGATTGCAAAAACCCCCCAAAATATTATACATTTTCTGAAAGCAGACACCCTAGAGAAAAAAATTATGGTAGTAGCAATTTTTTTATGTCACACAATATTACCGCAAAGGTAAAATTTCAGTGAAAAATACACTAAAGGTAATTTTAGGGCACACAAATGTAACCAATTACCCATTTTTTGGAAAATATAGAAGATGAGGTTGTACTGAGTAAAGAGATACCAAACCTTACATTTTCATGTGCCATAGGTGACGCTTTAAATGGCACCTATAGGTCAGCAGTTTGGCATTACAAAGGAGGTCTAGTGCTAGAAATACTGCTCCCACTCCAGTGTGCACCACGATGTGTAATGCAACTGATGTTTTCATTAGGCGCCCCAACATGTGCGTTTACGTCATTAGATGCGTACACGTGGGGGCGAGGTGCCTCCAATTTGTTTTTTAGGGGGGATTTTATGTGCTTGGGTGTAACTTAAATTTTTTACAATTTAAAATATTTTTTCCCAATCACACAGGGGACAAAAAGTTCCCTATGTGATTTTTTTGGTGACAGGTTCCCTTTAATGATATATCAAGGGTCTAAAAGGCCCTGGATGTCTCCCTTGTGCTCTACTGAATCAAATGCAGTGTAGATCAATCTGCATTCGATTCTTTCCTGGCCATACTGTTCGGGGACACATTGCTTCTGGGCCAGCAACAAGATGGGGGGGAAAGCGGATGCGTGTCTGTTGCTGGGGATGTGTAAAAGCAATCAGACTGCAGCACAGCCGCCAGAATGTGGAAATGATGGAAAATCATACTTGCAGGAGAACATCTTACAGGCAGGCTACATCCACTGGGAGTGTGTAACCCCTAACCCCCACTGTCAGGTCCATATGACATACAGACCTGGCAGCGAAAAGGACTCAGGTAAGCTCTTGGTAAGTTTTGCGCGTGATAGAATTGTTCTGACGTCCCAATGTTGGAACCTTTGGGAATCAGAGCAGGACCACACTTTGCCAAGGCACCACTGCACTATGTGCGGGTTCCATGAAAATCTATGTCACAGATGCCTCTGTTTATAAATCCTTAGGGACAAGTGTGTTTCTGCTGGCTGCCAGGGCTCTGTACTGCAGAATAAGTTGCTCATCACATGCGATACTCACCAGTAACATAGGTGGCTCTGCAAGGCAAACAAATACTCATTGAAGCTTTCAATTGGCTTCTCTTGTAAAACATAGTCAATTCTGTGGCCACCATTCAACATGCCAATCTTAATGGACAGGTCCTCTTCTCTGCAGATCTCTGTATTTTCCAGTTTCTCTGCTGAAAAATAAAAGGGGAAGCTGTTGGTCAATATCAGCAACTATCAAGCAAAGATAGCCTAGCCCACAGATAACATGGGGAAATGTCTCTGAAAGCCGAGCCCTGGAGACTGCACCTTCAGTTTGAAAGCTAAAAAAAATCTAGCATTGCCTCCTGATACACAATTAGATTGGCTGTCAAACTGTCCGCAGAGCATCACAAGTTACACCAAATCACACGTATCCCCATGTGCAGAGGTGTATTACCAAGTGTAATGATATAAACCTCCAATCCATCCCACTGCCCCAGCTCTCCCCACACACAGATTCTTATGCAATCGAAAAATGTGTGCTGAAACAAACTGGGGTAGGTCACAATAAAAGAAATTTTTTGTAACTTGCAGAAAAATTTAGATATAGATATTGCTCTCACTATTATATGTTTTAAAAGGCTTCTATTTATTAAGCTGGGTATACACGTAGTGAAATTCATCCAATTCAGCTGTAATCAGCCGAAATTCGGTACATGTGTACTGCTGTCTGTTCAACAAAAAACGGTCTAAACGACCGGATTCTGTCGAATGGTCCTGCTGGGAAACCAGCATTCGATTAGCGCTTGCAGCAAATGGCTGCAGCACTGATCAATGTATTCTGATGGAGGGGTCCCCGCTGTGAGAATGCTATAGCTTAGTGGGAGAGTTACCTTCATCCACATTATTTGCGATGATGCAGGGATCTGCTTTTTTTTTTTTTTTTTTTTGGCCTGGTTTAGCTCAACCTCAAACCTAAGCATGCACACCCTGCTTGATGATTTTACACGGCTCACCTTGCTATGCTGAATATAATTTATAATGGCCAATACTGCTCAACAAAGCTCTGTGTAGCTCACCTGCCACCTGCTTCTCCTCCTCTTCCTTAATCTGGTCAGCCACTTTCTCTAGTTCTTCCTGCAGCTGAGCAGATGACGTGTGAAATCGGGCAAATTCATTCAGCGTCTGCCAGGCCGAGCGCAAGGAGCTGAGGAATCCTTGTTTCAGATCAGACCCCATACGGGTCAGGCTTTCCTTCAACTCTAAATGACAAAAAACACAGACCAAACTGAATATTTCATCTCTTTGATGACCAATAAGACCTGAACAATGAACCAAATACTCACCAAGATGAAGCCTCTTCCGCCCCTTGTGATGTGGGATAAGAACAGGTTTCAGATCCAGATCTGCTATAATCATTGGTTCCAACCGGTAGGCAACGGGGTCCAACTGACAGAGAAATACGCATCATATAAAACCGATACAAATCACTGTACATCTATTTCCTCACTACAGAGAATACATGTGCTATTGTAGAGGTCATACACTTGAGGTTGGAATTTCTGAAAGATATCAGACAGATACACAGAAAAATGCAAACTCTGATCAACAGCAGCCACATTTCTCTGTTCCACCTACATTGTTACAACAATGAATATCATACTGCCTTGTATGAGTGGACCACAACCAACCTCAATGTTATAGGCTCTCCAGAACTGGCGGAGCATGGTGCCATCTGCTGGCAGGATCACCACGGTTCAGATTTATTTTACGTGGCCATCCTGCTTCAGCACAGAGATTTTGTCCCTCCAACTTCTACAAGTCAAAACATCAAATCTTCTGCCGCTTCAAATGTAAAAATTACATACTGATCTTTTGCCCCCTACTGTCTTTGAGGTGAACTTACTGGGTGATAAATATTGAAGAAGCCCTTGCAGGTAGGCAGTCTGTAGGTTTCATCAATCTTGTCCAGTCCACGGACAGTCAAAAACATCCCGATAGGAGAACCAAGAGCAAAGAAATGTACCAGCTCAAAATCCAGCGGATTATACCTCACCGATACCTGAAAGAAGAACAGATCCACTTACCGCATAGATCAGAGTGAACCCGAAGGGCCACGTACAAATGAAAAGCAACCCCAGGGACTGTATACAGATAAGGCCACCGCTGGGGACTGCAAAAGAGAAAAACAAAAAGGAGGGCGCACCGGCCTAGCGCATTATCATTTAAACTATTTAAAGACTAAAAAAGTAGGTATCATGCTCACAATGGACATATAAAACACAAGCACGTCACAATGAACAATGGTGTTCAATCCATATAGCATCTGGCTGAAGCGTTTCGAGGACTCAAACTCTTCCTCAGAGCTCTGAGGAAGAGGCTGAGTCCTTGAAACGAGTCAGCCAGTTGGTCATCCAGTATTCCATCGTTGTGGACTCAGATGTTATATGGATTGAACACCATTGTTCATTGTGACGTGCCTGTGTTTTATATGCCCATTGTGAGTATGATACCTACTTTTTATCCTTTCAATAAATATTTTAAACAATAATGCAATAACCCGGTGAGCGCTCTTTTTGTTTTTCTTTTGCATTCAGTGACTTTGGACTACTCCGATCCGTTGAGGGCAGCAAGGAGTGCATATTCCAGAACATTTACATTGTCATCCTAGCCTCTGTTGAGTCCATCCCCAGCGCAGGAGTAAAGTATTTTCTGTGTTTTCACCGCTGGGACTGTTCACAGATCCGTGCAACCCCAAGGATAACCTAGAGATTACAGTGACCCAGAGGGGCCATGTACAAGATCCGAGCAACCCCAGATGACACTGCACAGACCACAGCGACCCCTACTATGAAGATCTATCTGTAGGTTGCAGTGCAAGTTTCACTCATATTGTCTAATCTCCTTTACATTTACCAAAGACTGATGTGTGAAACCGACATTTTCCCTAAAATTACCTAGTCAGGCAGGCTTTTGCACTACGTGGTTTTTGGAAACATAAGGAAGATTTTACAATTTGCAAAGTGCGTGGCAAAAGAGCAGCGTAACACTTGTTAGCACAGCCACCAGTGTAAGAGAGAGCAAAGGGAGGAAACCGGGATGAGGGCAATAGTTACCTGTCCAGTTCCAGTCTCAAAGTGTTCATAATTGACATGGATGGAGGACACTGAAGCTCCAACCGGCAGTTTTCTTTTTGCTGGCTCTAGATTGCTGTCGGCAGGGAAGCACTCTGTTTTTTCTGGTTGGGTCTGAAATGTAGTTTTCTTTTCTGCTGCGGCTTTCCTCTCGACCTAAAAAACATAAAACAAAACCACAAAAAACAAAAACAAAACAATGAGAGGTTAGGCAGCCCATAGAGGATATGATTTTCTTTTCTTGCACCACAAGTGGAAGGAATGAAAAATTGCTCGTTTCCCCCATCAACAGAGTCAGTGATGACGGGGGAATGCCTCCCGTAGTGCAATTGTGTTCTGCCAGTTGGGGGTATTTCATGGGGATCCTTCCCGGCTGGCAGAGCACAATGCACATGGCTAGTAGCTATAGCCACTGGCAGAAAACTGCATGCAGAAAAACCCGACAGGCTGGTTGCACCCACGTTGATCAACTTGGGTGCAATCAGCTTGCTCATACATGGATCGAATCTTCATCCATGTATGGCCGGCTTTGGTGTTATCCTCCACACACAGAAGAGTATAAATTACAGACAGCCTGACTCCTGCCTCTAGGTGCACAGCAGAAAGAGGTGGCAGTGGACTTTGCATCTATTACCTGACTGGCAGCCATTTCTTCCACATATTTGGCAATCTTCTTTCTAGGTCCCAGCGGTATCCCCATCTCCTTCAAGTCATCAACTGTACACATGAGCTGACATGAGAGAAATGACAATTACATACAACCCCAGCCAATGACAGAGACAACCCTGTTGTCATCCACAATTAAACCTATGTGCAGTGTGAAGGAATACAGATTGTTGGTTTTCAACTCAAAGTGTTACTAAACCCACAACAATAAAATCAGTCTGTATATGTAGTAAAGCATTCCTGTTATACTCACTGTGGAACCTAAGGGGTTAATCCCCTGCCTTGTGTAAAAAGGCCGTTTGGTCCTGTTTCCTCTGCCCCTCCTCCTGTTCAAATGTCCACCTGATAAGACAGACTGAACCTGTAGTCACATGCACATGCTCAGTTTAGTGTGTATTGCTAAAGGTTTTTTCTTGGAAGAGTGCATGTGATCAGCACAGGGCCAATCAGCACTGTCCAGACCTAGGTCATTGGTTTCAAATCCTCCTAGAGCAGAAAGAAAACTCCTCCTACAAGCTTTACCCTGTGCTCTGAAGTCACAAGACTGCTCTAACTGCTGATGAGAAAAGGTATTTAGCAGTTTATGGTTACTAAAATAATTGCATTTTCATGTTGTGTGTACTGTGGGAGAGCAGATATAGTGAAGGCGGGGTCCGGGGAGACCAGATATAGGGAATGCAGGGTCCGGGGAGACCAGATATAGTGAAGGCGGGGTCCGGGGAGACCAGATATAGGGAATGCAGGGTCCGGGGAGACCAGATATAGTGAAGGCGGGGTCCGGGGAGACCAGATATAGTGAAGGCGGGGTCCGGGGAGACCAGATATAGTGAAGGCGGGGTCCGGGGAGACCAGATATAGTGAAGGCGGGGTCCGGGGAGACCAGATATAGTGAAGGCGCGGGGTCCGGGGAGACCAGATATAGTGAAGGCGGGGTCCGGGGAGACCAGATATAGTGAAGGCGGGGTCCGGGGAGACCAGATATAGTGAAGGCGGGGTCCGGGGAGACCAGATATAGTGAAGGCGGGGTCCGGGGAGACCAGATATAGTGAAGGCGGGGTCCGGGGAGACCAGATATAGTGAAGGCGGGGTCCGGGGAGACCAGATATAGTGAATGCGGGGTCCGGGGAGACCAGATATAGTGAATGCGGGGTCCGGGGAGACCAGATATAGTGAATGCGGGGTCCGGGGAGACCAGATATAGTGAATGCAGGGTCCGGGGAGACCAGATATAGTGAATGCAGGGTCCGGGGAGACCAGATATAGTGAATGCGGGGTCCGGGGAGACCAGATATATTGAATGCAGGGTCCTGGGAGACCAGATATAGTGAATGCAGGGTCCGGGGAGACCAGATATAGTGAATGCAGGGTCCACGGTTTAGTAACACTTTAAAACATACTTGCCTCTCATAAATTCTACCTATATTACTGCTGTACACCCAATAAACAGGCATCATCATTATGAAGTGTCTGTAGTACATCCTGTACATTTGTATTAAAAGCATAACATTCTATTGTTAGAAAAAGATGAAAACATTCATATACCCCAAGCAAACCCACCATTGATGTGTAGAATTATATAACCACTTTAGGTTCAGACACTTTCACCCCCCCCTTCCAGTCCAGGCCAATTTTCAGCACTATCACATTTTGAGTGACAATTACTCATGAAACACTGCACTCATATGAAATGTTTATCCTTTTTTGAGACGGATAGAACTTTCTTTTGGTGGTATTTGAGCACCACTGGGTTTTTTTTTTATTTTTTGCTATATAAAAAAGGTAAAAAAAAAATACTGAAAATTTTGAAAATAAATTATTTTTTGTTTTAACATTTTGCAAATAGTTTTTCTTCATAGATTTAGGCCAAAATGTATTCTGCTACATTTTTGGGGTAAAAATAACCCAAAACAGTGTATACTATGTAGTCTGTGTGAAAGCTATAGAGTCTACAAAGTATGGGATATATATCTGAAAACTTATCAGTTGAGAGCCTAAAATGGCAGACACTGGTATGACATATGGCAGTGATCAGGACGCTGGTATGGAGGTAGTCAGGACGCTGGTACGGGGGTGATCAGGATGCCGGTATGGCGATCAGCATATCGAGAGTGCTATGCACGGCTCTTGCAGACTCTGTGTGTATGCTATCTGCTTGTACCTCGTAGGGGCAGTCAGTTACACACACGGACAAGAAGCCCTTAATGAACTACCACAGCGCTCAACAGTGCCATGGTAGTTCGGTGAGAGCTACAACCTGACAGCCGCAAAGGCTTCCAATTAACATAAGGGGAGAAGATCCCCAGTCTGCTACCACAGCAGGGCTCGAAGGGGCAGCTGCAGCAGTAACATGTTACACCCCTACTACAGGTTTAACATGTAATATGTTAGAAAATGTTGAACTTATCCTTTAAAAAGGTACTTGCGTTTAAAACTGTTTTGGCACATTCAGAGAATCTAATCTGCCCCTGGACACACATAATTCTAGCGTCTGCTAAACTGAACACACCTGGATGCATCTAAACAAATGAAGGTGTGAATAATATAAATTAAAAATAATATGCATTTATAAATGTGTAAAGTCCTATAACGAATATAAAAGCATATAATCCCAGATCCGTCAATCCCAGAGTGAAGGAGGTCTTCCTATTCCAGAATTCACTCAGGCCTGATGCCAAGAGACACAGGTGAGATTGGCACAGAGGGGTGTCAGCAATCCTGCGTAAAGCATGGTGGAATTGGTGCAGTGTACAAAATCTCCACTAACATAAGTGCTGCTTCCTGATGCTGTGTGATCAACCAACCCATCATTACATTAGATCACAAGCCAAATTACCAAGGACTCCATATCCATCTTCTCTTTGTCAAACACGGTGATATAATCCAACAGGCTGAGAGATTCCAGCGCCTCCTGTAGGTCAGGCAGCCCTTCTTGCACCACCTCTGATTCGCTAGACTCACGTGGATCTGGAAAACTACCCTGGAACAGGAGAAACCAAGACAAATTAACACCCCAAAAAAGGAGCCTCTAAAAAGGAAATGTACAGTATTGTCAATGTTGTGTAGGGAAACGTATGAAAGAGATTTGCTTGTAAGTTTAAGGCCTTGTTCACGCCAGTGTACATCATTTTTTCTGCATGTGTTGTGCAAGGGCACAACAAAATCAATTGATCTCTATGTGCCCTGTTCACACCTACACACTAGTATCACATGCAGAATTTTTCTGCACAGGAATCTGCAACATGTATAAAACTTATTGAAGCGTGCATGAAAACTGATGTAAACTTGTCTCTGCAAGTGAAATCTGTGCATCAGTTTCCATGTACATCTGGTGAGAACAAGCCCTTAAGGTTGCACTTTACTGCGCCTCCTCACAAGTAATTCTCTGCGCATACGAACCATCTGCAAACACAATGCACTCACTATCTGATCACATCAATATCTGAACTCAAACTTGTCAATCAGGGAGATTCAGTGATGAAACAAAGTGCATCCTCTAGTAGTTAATCTACAAATTTCTACAATTATTTAAAAATAATTTACTTAAAGCAAAAATAGGTTTGCTTTAAAGTTCAATTGACGCTTTGAGAAGGAAAAAAAAAAAAAGGAAAAGGAAAAAAGAAGGAAAAGAAACTACGCCAATAGCTTCCTTGTTTATTAGAACACGAAGTTAGGACATAGATATAAGCTAGCAACTCTGTGGACTCAAACATAGAAAATCTTTATTGGCTACACAAGTACATCCAGTAAAACAATGCTAACAAGTTTCAGTTGCCTTACTCCTAATCATTGCTATGAGTAAGAGCACAGCGGATGAAACGCGTTAGCATTGTTTTTTACTGGACGTACTTGTGTAGCCAATAAAGATTTTCTATGTTTGAGTCCACAGAGTTGCCAGCCTATATCTATCTACATTTAAGTATTGAGGAAATGCACATCCCAGCCATGAGCACCAGTTTTCAGCCAGCATCACCAGCAGTAGAGATGGAGTATTGTATTCAGTGATTCTATGAAGTTAGTACAGTCTAAAAAAATAAAAAAGTCAGTTATCCCAACATCAGGCAGGAAAGCCAGACTAATGTGCTCTATGTGAGAGCAGCTGCACTCTTTGCTGCAGTCTGATGCCTCCCTTGTAAGTCAGAGTTTGATCTCTCTATTCAGCAAGCAGCATGAGCACTGCTAAGAGGGAGGGCGCCACTAGTGACAAGATATCCCTAATTCCTAGATTGTAAGCTCGAAAGAGCAGGACACCGATCCCCCCCCATGTTTTGCATTGTATTGGTATTGTTCTGTCACATGTTCTGTCCCCCTTTGTAATGTACAGCGCTGAGCGAACTATTGGCGCTTTATAAATACTGTATAATAATTATAATAATCAAGTTACTTCCCCATGGCATTCATGCCATTTATTTTTTTATATTTTGTATAGTTTATCTTGTTTTTTTTATTTTTTGTTTGTTTGTTTGTATGGCCCCCCTGTATGCATGCCTGACAACATCGGGGCATACTCCTAATAAGACGACAGATGGTGGGCATCACTGAGCTCCTGGACAGTCTGAGGTGCAAGCATGGGGGCCATTCAATGGTACCAATTCCTTCATCCTCCAGCCACATGAGGCCAGGCATTGTCCTGTACCAGGAGGGACCCACTGCACCACCGTAGGGTCTGACAATGGGTCCAAGGATTTCATCCCGATACCTAATGGCAGTCAGAGTGCCATTGTCTAGCCTGTAGAGGTCTGTGCATCCCTCCATTGATATGCCTCCCCAGACCATCACTAACCCACCACCAAAACGGTCATACTGAATGATGTTACATACAGCATAACATAGTTAGTCTGGTTGAAAAAAAAAGGACAAAAAAGTTAATCCAGCTCAACCATAAAAAAGTTATAATCCTACACCCACAGTTGAACCAGGGGAAGGCAAAAAAACCAGCAAGGCATGATCCAATTTGCTCCTGCAGGGAAAAAAATTCCTTCCTGATCCCCCGAGAGGCAATTGGATATTCCCTGGATCAACTTTACCTATAAATGTTAGTATCCAGTTATATTCTGTGTATCCAAGAAACAATCCAGGCCTTTAACATTCTCCACAGCTTCTCCAGACCCTTTCACGTCTGTCACATATGCTCAGGGTGAATCTGCTCTCATCTGTGAAAAGCACAGGGCGCCAGTGGTGGACCTGCCAATTCAGGTGTTCAATGGCAAATGCCAATTGAGCGCTACGGTACCGGGCAGTAACCACAGAGCCCACTAGAGGATGTTGGGCCCTCAGGCCACCCTCATGAAGTCTGTTTCTGATTGTTTGGTCAGAGACATTCACACCAGTGGCCTGCTGGAGGTCATTTTGTGGGGCTCTGGCAGTGCTCATCCTGCTCCTCCTTGCACAAAGGAGCAGATACCGGTCCTGCTGATAGGTTAGGCACCTTCTACTGCCCTGTCCAGCTCTCCTAGAGTAACTTCCTGTCTCCTGGAATCTCCTCCATGCTCTTGAGACTGTGCTGGGAGACACAGCAAACCTGGCAATGGCACGTATTGATGTGCCATCCTGAAGGAGTTGGACTGCCTGTGCAACCTCTGTAGGGTCCAGGTATCGTCTCATGCTACCATTAGTGACACTGACCCTAGCCAAATGCAAAACTAGTGAAAAACAGTCAGATAAGACAAGTAGGGAAAAAAATGTCAGTGGCCTCCACCTGTAAAACCATTCCTGTTTTGGGGTCGTCTCATTGTTCCCCATCTAGTGCACCTGTTAATTTCATTAACACCAAAGCAGCTGAAACTGATTAACAACCCCCTCTGGTACTTAACTGACCGGATCAATATCCCATTGACTTGATGCCAGACTCAGGTTAAAAAGTGTTCCTTTAATTTCTTTTGAGCCGTGTATTTTGTAGTAGCAGCACTGGAGAAGCTTAGAAGTCCCAAAATGGGAAACAGGTTAATCCAAAGGACACGGCAGCAGAATAATCCAGACTTACCAAATTGTCCCCAACGCCTGGTTGCTTCAGTGCAGCATTCACATTAGGAGGCGGGGCCTGTACTGGAGGTGTGGCTGTTAAATCTTGCTGATTGGACAGTATATCAAACAGAATCAGAGAGCCTAAGAAAAATAGAGAAGACAAGGCCATCCAACACTTGGGAACAAGGGTGACTGCGCAGGTAATATGGACTTCTAAATATCCAGAGTTCTTTTGTTAGCGCTACTGAACATACTGCTGCAATAGGAACCATGATCCCCTGTGTCTGTTTAGCAGCCTACCTCCTAATATAGGATTTGTACCCCCCCAATTTCTATTTACTACCTACCTCCTGGGTAAGGATGGGGGGGGGGGGGGTAGTTGGGGTGACTATATTCCCTGTATCGGTTTAGTATCCTGTCTCTTAAGGTAGGACATGTATCCCAATGCTAGGTTAGCACCTACCTCATGGGAGGGGAGTGGGTGGAACACAGGTATTAGGGGTGAAACTGTATTCCCTATGTCTGTTTAACAGCCTACCTCCTAGGATAGGACATGTACCACAATGATGCTTTAGCACCTACTCCCCAGGGGTGGTGGAGGAATATATCCCCAGTGTTGGTTTAGTAGACTGCCTTATATTAATAGACGTGTGTCTTAGTGTCTGTTTAGTATACAGGTGAAACTCGAAAAATTAGAATATTGTGCAAAAGTTCATTTTTTTCAGTAATGCAACTTAAAAGGTGAAACTAATATATGAGATAGACTCATTACATGCAAAGCAAGATAGTTCAAGCCGTGATTTGTCATAATTGTGATGATTATGGCTTACAGCTCATGAAAACCCAAAATCCACAATCTCAGAAAATTTGAATATTACATGCAATCAATAAAACAAGGATTGTACATAGAACAATATCGGACCTCTGAAAAGTATAAGCATGCATATGTACTCAGACTTGGTTTGGGCCCCTTTTGCAACAATTACTGCCTCATAGCGGCGTGGCATGGAAGCTATCAGCCTGTGGCACTGCTGAGGTGTTATGGAAGACCAGGATGCTTCAATAGCGGCCTTCAGCTCTTCTGCATTGTTCGGTCTCATGTCTTATCTTTCTCTTGGCAATGCCCCATAGATTCTCTATGGAGCTCAGGTCAACGAGTTTGCTGGCCAATCAAGCACAGTAAACCAACGGTCATTGAACCAGGTTTTGGTGCTTTTGGCAGTGTGGGCAGGTGCCAAGTCCTGCTGGAAAATGAAGTCAGCATCCCCATAAAGCTCGTCTGTGGAAGGAAGCATGAAGTGCTCCAAAATCTCCTGGTAGACGGCTGCATTGACCCTGGACTTAATGAAGCACAGTGGACCAACACCAGCAGATGACATGGCTCCCCAAATCAACACAGACTGTGGAAACTTCACACTGGACTTCAAGCATCTTGCAGTGTGTGCCTCTCCATTCTTCCTCCATACTCTGGGTCCTTGGTTTCCAAATGACATGCAAAAGTTGCTCTCATCAGAAAAGAGGACTTTGGACCACTGAGCAACAGACCAGGTCTGTTTTTCTTTAGCCCAGGTAAGACACTTCTGATGTTGTTTGTTGTTCAGGAGCGGCTTGACAAGAAGAATACAACATTTGAAGCCCATGTCCAGGATCCGTCTGTGTGTGGTGGCTCTTGATGCACTGACTCCAGCTTCAGTCCACTCCTTGTGAAAGTCGTTTGAATGGCCTTTTCCTGACAATCCTCTCCAGGCTGCGGTCATCCCTGCTGCTTGTGCACCTTTTTCTCCTACACTTTTCCCTTCCACAAAACTTTCTATTAATGTGCTTTGATACAGCACTTTGGGAACATCCAACTTCTTTTGCAAATACCTTTTGAGGCTTTCCCTCCTTATGGAGGGTGTCAATGATGGTTTTCTGCACAACTGTCAGGTCAGCAGTCTTTCCCATGATTGTGATTCCTATTAAACCAGACAGAGACCATTTAAAGGCTCAGGAACCCTTTGCAGGTGTTATGGCCTAGTTAGCTGATTAGAGTGGGACACTTTGAGCCTAGAATATTGCAGCTTTTCACAATATTCTCATTTTCTGAGATTGTGGATTTGGGGTTTTCATGAGCTGTAAGCCATAATGATCACAATTATGACAAATCACGGCTTGAACTATCTTGCTTTGCATGTAATGAGTCTATCTCATATATTAGTTTCACCTTTTAAGTTGCATTACTGAAATAAATAAACTTTTGCACAATATTTAAATTTTTCGAGTTTCACCTGTATACCTTCCTTCCTAGGATAGGACCTATACCCAATTATCCCCATGTCTGCTTAGTAGCTTACCTAGAACATGTACCTTAATGTTGATCTAGTACTCTGCCTTTAGGCAGGTTATATGCCCCAGTGCCTGTTCAGTACTCTGCCCTTTAGTGGCGCTGCATACCCCAAAGTCTATTCAGTATTCTGCCCCCTGGGGTAGGTTTACACCTGTGTAACTCTGCTGGTAAGAAAACCATACATCAACGTGACTGTATTTGGAATACATACGGTCAGACTTGCAATCAACAATCTAAGCTCCTCATTAACACAAAACACTCACTACAGCTGGAAAATGGCAGGCTGAACCACATACCTAAACTGTGACCAGCCACAGACACCCCTCCTTTAAAATCTGGATTTCGGCTCATGAAGAGTTCATAAAGCCGGTTCATCTCTAAACTGACTTTGTCTACGATGGTCTGGCAGTAGGTGGGACTGTTGTAGAACAGAATGTCCAGGAGGGTCTCGTTGGTGAAGTGTCGAAGACGTGCAGTACTTGGCAATGTAATTTTCTTGATCCGCCTACAAAGACAGAACAGTGCAGCCTTTTACGAATGCTATATGAAAACACATTACATAAGCTTTAATGAATGGACTGTACTTTAGAACCAGGACCATGAATGACAAACAGTGTTGTGTCTGAGATAGTCAGGTTTAATCCATCAAAAAAAAAAAAAAAAAAAAAAAAAAAAAAAAAAAAAAAATCGGACTGACAGGTTGTTGGGTGTTGTTGCTGTGGAGAACTCTGCAATCATGGCACAGCTTGGCATTAATGACAAGGCTAAAGGAGAATAGAAGGCCAGCAAAAATAATTTCCGGAAATTAGGAGGAGAATAACATGAATCCAGAACCCCTAAGGTGGTGTTATCAGAAACAATTTTCAGTACCCCAAACCATATCAGAGACAGTGGGAGGTCAAAGACTGGCTGAGCAGTAGGTTCAGGGTGGAAAGTACTATTTCTGGAAAATCTGCAGTCAGACCTAGCTGTATCGTAAAACAAAAAAATTTACTGAATTTTACCAGTTCTTAAAGTGTCAATTTGATTTGGCATCAAATCCAAATCATCAAAAACTGTCAATACATGCTACTGTATATTACACTGTGTTCATACTCACTCATCCACTAGAGCAGGACTTGAAATTTCCACTCATCTGCTCGCATTTGGCTAGCGAAAATAACATGGGGACGAGTGTGTCCCAGGTGCCGCATGGGAGAGTGGGTGCTACCAGCAGCACCAACCTGCCCCGAGCATTGTGTTGAGGGCGGGTGCACTGCTGGTGCCGCTCCTCAGCGACCGGAGTTATCGCAGTTTCACTCCTGTCACAATGAGAAGCTGCTGACACTTGCTGGAGGGAGGACTAGGCTTTCTCCTCCCTCCAGCCTGCAGGGTGCAATAGACAGCCGGCACTAAGGAGTGAAGGCAGAGTGTCCTTCCTCTCTCCCCTTGTCATGTGACTTATCACATGACCGAAGGAGGGAAAGAAGGAGGATCTGCGTTCAACAAGAAGATCTGTCAGTACAAGGGGGAAGGGTGAAGTTACACTGATGGGGACACCTGATGTAAAGGGGGACTCTGATGGGGACACCTGATGTAAAGGGGGACTCTGATGGGGACACCTATTTTCATTTTATGTTTACATTGTTTTATGTTAACCACTTGCCCTCTAGACTCTATTAAGCTATTGCTGTTATGTTTAAATTGACATAATAAAGCTATGTTATAATTGCTGTTTTTTACATTTTGGACTCTTTATTCTAAAGAAAAATGTAATTTTATAAGCTTTATACAGGGTGTGGTTGGGGGGTGGGGTTGGGGGACGGGCCTGGGGTGGAGTTGGAGGCGGACCTGTGCAAGGTTTGGTTACTCTCCATAGAGAGTAACGTCACTACCTATTGCTGTCACAATGGGTGTTTACATTCCTTGTGACAGCAAAAAAAGTGATAATAAATAAATTTAAAAGCAACAGTGTAAAAATAACAAAAATAAACCGCAAACAGCGATCAGCCCACATATGAGGTTATCACCACGAACATCAGATCATGGGCAGAAATTCTAGCACCACCTCATCTCCTGTGTAAATCTAAAGGGGTAACTTGTAAAGGCTTTTAAATCATCACCTATGGATAGTAAAATAACATTGTTTTGTTGTCGTTGCACAGGTGTGCGCAATTTTAAAAGTACAACATGTTTGGTATCTATTTACTCAGCCTAACATCATCTTTTAGATTTTTCCAAAAATTGGTTAAGTGTTTTTTTTTTTTGCAATGCAAAAAAACACGTGTTTTCTCTTCCAAAAAAATTGCATTTGAAATTAAATATCGTGTGACATAAAAAGGCGCAAAACCCACCAAATTAATTTCTACGACCTCTGCTTTAAAAGAAAAAAAATATATATATATGTATAATATTTGGGGGTTCTAAGAAATTTTCTAGCAAAAAAAAAAAAAAAAAAAATACTGATTGTTTCATGTAAACAAAAAGTGCCAGAAAAGGCCTGGTCTTCAAGTGGATAAAAAGAAAGAACAAAAGAACCTTTACTTTATTTTGTAATCTTCTAATCCCATTAATCCCCCAAGTAATAAGGATGAACTAAGGTTAAAGTCCAGCCTGTGTGACAACCAAGATTACTGCAAAAAAGGAAAAAAAAAAAAAATTGGATGATAAGAGAAAATGAATGCAGTCAACACATCTAAGGACTGGTAAGCTGCAATTACATTTGTTTGGGGTTTAGATATGCTTTAAAAGGAGATGTTCTGTGAAAGCATTTGTTGAGGAATGTACAATTCTCTGCAGCAAAAGTTAGCATTTCCCATCTGATGTGATGTCTCATTTTGCACATAAAAGAAGAAATGTATCAAGTCGGATGAACTCTACTTACCTGTCCACACCAGTGGCATCACCATGGAGGGCGCTGTGCCAATGGACAGGCAGGAACTCCACACGGCGCACCTTGCTCTCTTCCACCGACTTTCTGAAATGAGTTTGCAGCAACTTCAAAGAGATTGCTCTAAAATCATCCACTGTGTAAGAGAAGGAGAAGATTACTGGGGCGGAGGGGGCAGTTACCACTAACCATCCACCCCTACCCCACCACTGTACGAGAGAGAAAAAATGACTGCGAATATTCCTTTTTTGAAGTCAGAAACCCCCAGCCTGTCTCTGGTTAGTCTCTCTCATAACTAATAATGGAATCTTCTATACCTATCAGTTTATCCCCCACAGTTATTACCTTTTGTAACACCAGCCCCTCCCGCTTAGATTGTAAGCTCCAAGGAGCAGGCCCTCCTAACCCTCTTGTATTGAACTGTATTGTTGCTGTATTGTCTCCCTTTATATTGTAAAGTGCTGCGAAAAACTGGGCGCTATATAAATCCTGTATAATAATAATTCTAAGTTTTTGAAGCCAGAGGATTAGCATGGCAGACATGCATAATTGGACAGGAAAATAATGTTCTGGTTAAAGGATAAGTTCACCTTTTGACTAAAAATAATAAATGCACATTTTTTTGCATTTAAAAAAAAAGGGGAAAAAAAAAGTGCATTTATTATATTTGGTTGCAGGAGCCTGTAAAGCATTGCACCAGCAAATCAGCAGATTGCTGGTGCCATGCAGGTCTCCTGCAGAACTGTCAGTATATCTGCTTGCCCATACGGGATGATGCAAGCAGATATACTGACAGGAAAAAAAAAATCAACGAACTACCACAGTGCCATGGTAGTTCATTCATTCACAGGCCACTGAATGAGTGACATGGCCCAGTGGGTGGAGCCCTGCATGGACACGCCTTTTTTTGTAAAAAGTGACAGCTAGTATGGGGAACTTTACCCCATTCTTCCGTCACAGGGATGGGGCAGCGGTTGCAGCATTGGTAACATGTAACATATTCGACCCTAAAAATTGGTTAAACATGTAACATGTTCTCAAAAGGCGAACTGATGCTTTACGGTGAAAGATAGACTAACTTTAGTTGTAGCAGAGTTCCAGTCAAAAAGGTAAAAAAATTAAGTCAGCAGCTACAAAAACTGTTTTCTCCCTCCCTTATTTGTCCTTCTCTGAGATCAGTCCTGTCACCCCCCCCCCCCCTCCTCCTCCTCCTCCTCTCCCCTGTCATCAGTAAATCTTTATGCAGCCCTTAGAGGAGTCTGTTTTTTTTCAACCAGTGACTGGATTTCCCCATCCACACACTTGATGTGGATGAGGGAATCCTTCCCGCTGAGCTACTGAATTCTGACAGAGAGGAGAATTCCCCATCACCAGAATACACTGGTTAGCTGTGCAGGCTATAGCCTGCAGCACTGATCGAGCATGAAAATCCGACAAGGCAGTTGTGCAGAAGTCAATCAATAGACTGACTGCCGTACAACTTCCCTGCCCATACGTGGATTGCAATTCAGCTGGTCACTGCTAAACTGGCCGAATTTTGATCCGTGTAATGACTGGCTTTAGACTGTCAGCTGATTGGCCTCTAGTGAGTCACTGATTTTCTGCACAGTGCTGAGATTACAAGACAACTGAGGCTGTGCAGAGAAGGAAGAAATGAGGCCTTACTGGATTTTAAACAGTATAGGCACTTATTTTGTTATACATAGTAATACCAGCAAAAAGAGGTCAGCATGAAGTAATCTATCAGGACCTACCTTTCTGACTAAAGTTCCACTGCAAAGTAGGTCACCGCTGTGTAATTATCTGACCGAATCCAGATCAAATGGCCCTCCAACAGGATGGTCTGATGCTGAAATTGCTCATAACTCGAATTTCATCAAGAAATGAGAATCCTCCAACAACCAATATGGGTCCAAAAGTTTAATGAATGATCACATAGTTACAGCAAGGCAACGTTTCAGTCTCGCAGGACCCCTTCATCAGGCATGTCACATGCCCGATGAAGGGGTCCTGCGAGACTCCGAAACGTTGCTTTACTGTAACTATGATCATTCATTAAAACTTTTGGACCCGTATTGGTGATCCTCGGTGTGCTGGCGACAGTCTCCCTTGCTGATTCTGTTTGGTTCCGGCCGACGGTCGCTGCAGCACCAACTTATACACACAGCCATTTTTAATGCAGGAACATGTGTGTTTGGATTGTACACTTACATCCTCCAACAACCAAATCCCCTGCATAGACAAGATGACAAGGACTACCCTTCAGCCTAACAGGTTGGTAAGAAAGGACTTCTGACTACAGAGTTAGATTCCTGAGCAATCAGTCCAAAGATGTGGTGTCAACCAAACTGTCCTGTCCAATGATACGACTGATCTATCCTACAGCAACAGAACATTCTTGTTGCAGAAATCTAGAGTGAAATTGAGCAGAGGGATCAGGCTCCAAAAGGAAGTTACTAATCAGTCCCGATACTTATGCAAAAACATAGTTGGACTGAAGACATTGAACCTTGCTAAAAAAAAAAGTATGGCCAAAGCTCTTTTGGCCATACTGCTTGTGTGGGTCACAGGAGAGCTCTTAGTTCTGCACTCCTGTGACCCATATTCAGCCCACAGCAGGCTAAAGTTCACTGTTGGCTGATGTGACAGAGCTGGTCCAAGCTCTGCAGGGATCCTGACAATAATGTTGGGATCCGCCCAGATGCCTGGACCAGCGAGTGACTCAGCCTCTCAGTGCACCACCGGGACCCCAAGCCAACCACCTCTGCTCCCTCCATAGCCCGGCACTTCAGTGAGCCCTGGAGAGGGACAGCACAGATCCAGATAACGCACTTCTCTTTTAAGCCAAGAGATGGCCGGATCCACTGAGGGAACAAGCCATTTCTGAATATTAGCATCAAACAGGTACAAAGCCAGTAAACACTTACAGTTACGTTATTTGGGCACTTCCAATCTTTGTACAGAATTAACTGGAAAAGTGAGTGAAACGTTTTTGTGGCTTTAGGGCTCATATAGGACCCAAGACTTGAAAAAGCACGGTAGAAGCAACAACCTGATCCTCCAGCTTCAAAATATTGAGCACTGCGTCACTAAGAGCCAAAACAGTCTCCTGTAACTGGAGAGTGACAGCAGTAGACTCATTCCCAGGGGATATGCTCAACTGATAAGGACTTGAGCAACTCAGAATCAGAGTCTCTGTGGCCAAGGGCTCAGAAGCCACTAAGGCTGTGGGTAAGCTAGTTAGAAAATCTGCCTGAGAGGAAAGGAAAAATAAAAATGACAGGTTATTCTTTACAGCAGCATAGCTGAAGAAAACGCATCCAGCGAACTAGGATATTAGCCAAAAGGGATGCGGAGAGTAGGAGGAGTTACCTTGGGCTGGACTACAGTTTGTTTGCCAGCGTCCAATCCTCCTGTAGGCAGCAGTACTACCCAAAGGTTTAGTACTTCCTGTTACCCTCGATGAATGAGAAAAAGTTTTTTGGTTTTTTCATATTTCTTAGTTTTTCCAATTTAAGATGATCAATGAAAATAGTTTTTTCCAAATGATAAACTTGCTGCTAATAATACTTGTTTCATTTGCAGTCTTCATAGCTTCTCAACTCCTCCATGTCTTGTAGCTTTTCACTTCCTTTCCCGTCCTGTTTTCTTGTCTCTCTGTATGGCCTCCCTTCCTCGTGGGAGTGAAGGAGACTAAACTTTTCTCTCAATATCTCTCCTCTGCCCTCCGCCTTCATGAATATGCTCCTGTACTCCCCCCTTCTCTGTGCCCTGCCAATAGGCCTTGTCTGTATCTCCTCTGATCCCCATAAACATCCTCTGCAATCCCTTACTCTACCCCTCCTGATAAACGTCCTTTGTAGTCCACTCCTCTTGCAATAGTCCCCCCTAAACATTCTCTGTATTCCCCCTTCTTTGTTCTCATCCTATAAAAACTCCTTTTTACTCCCCACCTCTATGCCATCCCCTCTGTTCCATAAAACGCCTCTGTATTTCTAGTTCACTGCCCCCCACTCCAAATCTCCCGTGTAGTTCCCTTCTCAATGTCTTCCTGCAAAAAAAAAAAAAAAAAAAAAAAGGAAGGATTCTACCCGCAAACTTCCTCTGTCCCCCCTCAAATCAAATGGACAGACAACCTTATGAAGGTCACTCACCACATTCCACCATACTTCTGAAGCGCAGATCACACACCGGCCCAATTCCATGCACCATGAACACCAGATGATCAGCTTGAGGAACTTCACCTGTGAGAAAACACAATCTGAGAACCATACCCCCATGGCATGTCCCATCCTATCTGATGAAGTCTCACGTAATGTCTCAGCAAGTGGTCAGAAAACTCAATCTGTAAGGTTCAGCTCCGATGCCCTTCATTTCATCTACTTATACCACAAGGCATGAGTCAAGTGAAAAGATACGGGGTAAGCAAATGCTGCAGGCAGCAGCAGGGACAGAATCTGCATTTCAGGTCATAATCAAGTGCAAAAAGTCTTCATAGAACTACCAACAGACCACAGCTAAAATCAATTTGACAAAGGCTCTGCTCACCAGGGAAGGCTACGGTCCTCCAACTCCAATCACTTATATTGACAGAGACAAGTCCTCTTTAGGAATCTTCAAGCCATATCATACCAAAGACAATTTTTGACATCTTCCTTTATCTTCACATAAACATACATGACCCAAGACGTGGCCAGCTTTTCTATTTTGGTCCCAAATGTTGCTCAGCTGTAAGGTTCAGGAAGCAGCTAATCTACTTCTCTAATGAAGTTTGCATTTAAAATGAATTTATCCAATATAAAATTGGTTAACATGGCCGTATTCTGAAAGAACAAGAAGTACCAGCCCTGCCTCATTACTATGTCTGACCGAACACCTAGCTCCTTTCACACAATCAGTCCTCCCTGTCTGTTTTTCAGACAAACCAGATAGGACCCTTTATTCTCCTGTTGGGAGCGGCAGATGTAATAGGACTTGTGTCCGTTTACACCCACCTACCTCCAATCCGATCTGCTAAAAACAAATAGAAATGGATCTGTTCCCCTCTGTCTGGGCAGATCAGATTGGAGGGCACTCGGGTGAAAACGGGCAGGCCGTCAGTTTACGTCCGACTGCCCACAGAGCACAGCAGGCTATGTCCTTGTCCGCTCTGTATAAGTTGAGCGGACGTGGACCTGTCACCCACCCGCTCAGCAGGGGATCAGCGGACAGATCCCCTGCTGAGCAAAGCTGAACCTGCCCACAAAGGGGCCTTACAATATAAAAACTTACATCTGACTGGTGGCTAAAGAGAGTTTATTAACCACTTACTGTCTGCCCTATAGCAGAAGTACTGCTACAGGGCGGCAAGGGTGCGCAAAACCATGTATATATACACACACACGTGGTTTTGCATTTCCAGGTATTCGTGGCCGCGGCTGTCAATCACCGGGTCCTGGCTGGTGATTACTCGCCGGCCCCCGGTGATTGCCAAGCATCTCCAACAGGGGGGAGGACTGTTAGTAAACAAAACAGTTCTCTCCTGTCAGCTCCTGCACACTGCTTTGCATGCAAAGCAGTGTGCTTACAGTGAAGCACAAACACACAGCCCCATAGTAAAACAGACACAGCACACAGTTAACCCTTTGATCGCCCCAGATATTAACCCCTTCCTGCCCAGTGCCATTAGTACAGTGTCAGTGCTTTTTATTAGCACTGATCACTGTATTGGTGTCACTGGGGATGTCAGTGGCACCAAGTCAGTTCCCACCACAGTCCCACTATAAGCTGCTGATCGCCATTACTAGTAAAAAAAAAAAAAAAAAATCCCAGTATATATACCGCCATTTCTAAACACTATAACTTTCACATAAACCAATTAATATATTGATATTATGGATTAATATATGGATTTTCTTTAGCAAAGACATGTCGCAGAATCCATTTTGGCCTAAATTTATGACAAAATTTTGATTCTTTCAATTTTTTTTACTGGACATGTTTAATAGCAAAAAGTCAAAAAAATATTTTCCCTCAAAATTGGTCCTTTTTTTTTTGTGCAAAAAATTAAAAGACAAAACAACCCCCCCCCCCCCAAAAAAAAAAACAAAAAAAACGCACAAGCGATCAAATACCACCAAAAGAAAGCTCTATTCATGGGGAAAAAAAAAAAAGGACATAATTTAATTTGGGTGCAGTGTTGCATGACTGTGCAATTTTCAGTTAAAGTAACGCAGCGCCGTATCGCAAACAATGGCCTGGTCAGGGGGAGTAAATCCTCTGGAGGGCAAGTGGTTAAAAGGAATTTTTTTACTGTTCTAAATAAAATCTGAAGGTTAAAGTATCTAGAGCCAAAACCTTTTTGTCAAGATATGTCAGCATGGGCCTAGAAACTCTGAGTATCCATTTTGCAGAGCCACTCGATTTGTCCTGGTAATCACGGTCATTCAAAAATTGTAGAGCTGTCAAAGCTTAGCATTGGGCAGATAGGATTGCTGAACATACAAGGATGTTAATCATGGTCTGCAAGGCAGCTCCAGACTGCCTGATACAAGATAATCGATTAATTTCCCCTCAGTCCCTGCCATCATGTGGATCATTCTCTATGGCTCTCCAATGTTCTGTCTGTACAGGCAACCACTAAGGACAATCCCATCCAAACGTACCATCTGGAACTTCATCATGGTCATCTATGCCCCTCTTCACCACACGTGGCCTGGACTGCCCATCCTGTGGGGTCCCCCACTCATCAGGTATCGCTGACTGCTGAAATTGGACGATCACCTGTAAAAGATGACACCAGATGCCAGGTCTGAGATCAAGAACAAGCAAAAAACTGTCATAACATTAGATGTGGTTGCTACATTAGTTTTGGTTTTTTTTTTTTAGGATTTTATCCTGTTTTCATGTGGTGATCTGGCCAGGAACACACTTTTTTTTTTTTTAGAGTGCCTCCGCACTGGGTGAAGGAGCACAGGGGGAACCTCTGGACAGCAGCATCGTCAGTCTGACGGGAGTGCTAGCTGGATTAGCAGATTTAGATACACCAACAAATTGAAGTAGAACTCCAGCTAATACTTAGGCTAGGTTCACATCTGTGTGGGTGGTGCCGCTGGGGATCTGCACGATAATCCATGCAGCCACACCACTCGTACAGAGAAATGCGGACCCGCGGGAGGGTGCCATTGGTTCTAATGGCATGCCGCCCGCACTAGAAAACGCAACAATACTGGGAACCTAGGTTCCCATGCGGACTGCGTATTCAGAAGTGCAGGGACTTCTCTGCGTGTCATGGGGCACGGGAGTCCATTCAAACGAATGGGCTCTCGTGCTCGCACGGCCGCATATATGTGAACCAGGGCTTAACAAGCAGTTACAGCAAAACGTTCCTTTTGGGATAACAGTTTTACCTAAATAAAAGCGGATCATTATAAGGACAGCTGTCAGTGGTATATGGTTTCTCTCAACCCTCTGATACATTGGGAAGACAGCTTTTTCTGCTGAAAAAACAGGCTTACTGGCAGGATCGCCAGATCAAAATAGAAAGAAAGAAAGCCAAAAAAAAAGAAAAAAAATTTTATTTAATACAGCCATCACATCTAAGAATTTGTAAGGTGCAATATGATAAAATGTTTGCTTTTGGGTTTAATATTGCAAAAAAAAAAAAAAAAAAATGTACATTGTCCACTGATGCTCCAGCACTGAATCTGCACCCCGAGTCTAAAGGGGATTGCCACCTCTGCACAATGAGAATGAACTGCACCCACCTTGGGATTGTGCATTACAATGGTTTCTCCGCCCGGGAATTCCAACCTTCGATGCCACTGATTGGTTGTCACTGCCTTTTTATACTCTGCCTAAAATGGAAGCACCACATGACATTTTACATACATTTCTCTCAGAATCTGAAAAAAAACAAAACAAAAAAAAAAAAAAAAAAACACCATTTACCTCCAGCCTTTCACTAAAATCCTCAGAGTATGGCACAAATCGGCTGTCCGAGTCTCCTTTATAGAACCAGGAACAGCGTCGAACCTCCAAATCCTCCTCTTCCAGTAGACGGCTTTCATCTCCCGATCATACAGGCAGACGTCATATCGCCCACCAGCTGTACTCACCACCACACTCTCAGGGTCTGGCTGAACTATACAGGAAACAGATCGGAATGTCAAAGTAAATGGATACAAAATCCTGCTGAAGTGTGAGCAAAACGTCTTCATCAAGATGGCCTCACTGGCCTGCCTCGCCGCTGGTTATCCCCGCTTCAGTCGATCCTGAATACGGCTGCCAGACTCATTCACCTTTCCAACCACTCCGCTTCCGCCACCCCCCTCTGCCAATCCCTCCACTAACTTCCGATTGCGCAACAGATCAAATTCAAAATCCTAACACTGACGTACAAAGCTGTCCACCATACTGCCCGAACTACATCACTGACCTAATATCCAAGTATCGCCCAACACGCACTCTCCGCTCCTCACAAGACCTCCTTCTCTCTAGTTCCCTGGTCTCCTCCTCCCATGCCCGCCTCCAGGACTTCTCCAGGGTGTCACCCATCCTCTGGAACTCCCTGCCCCAACCCATCAGATTATCACCTACTCTCCTCTCCTTTAGGTGCACCCTGAAAACCCATCTCTTCAGGGAAGCCTACCCTACCCCCTGCTAACTTGCCGACCTCCTCCACTCTTCCTACCACTCCATCCCCCACAGCTATCTCCTCCTGTACCACTATCCCCTCCCTCCTAGATTGTAAGCTCCAAGGAGCAGGGCCCTCAATCCCCTCATGTTTTGCATTGTATTGGTATTATTCTGTCACATGTTCTGTCCCCCTTTGTAATGTACAGCACTGAGCGAACCATTGGCGCTTTATAAATACTGTATAATAATAATAATAATCAAGATGAAAGGAAAGTAGACTCTGGACTCAAGAACTACCAATATGGTTCTGTGGGTCCAGCATGGCTGAAGGGATAATCAGTGTGCATCTGCGCTCAATACAAGTGCCAGTAGAGCGCTTTCAGTTCAGAGAGAAGTCAGGAATCACTCACCGGAGTTGTACACCTCCTCCAGATTTGCAGAGTCATACATGCTGAACGGCGACCAGACTTCACGTTCCTCCACCAATTTACAGAAGAACCAGTGAGGCTGGAAAGGCTCATACAGGTGGGGCACAAAATGAGCCACTGCTGGCATTGGGGGAGCAGCAGGCCTGGCACTGGGGTACGGTTGTGTGGCTGCTGATGTCATGTACGGGGGTGCCGAAGGAGGTGGCTGAAGACAAGAGAAAAAAAAAAAAAAAAAGATTTTGTTCAATGATGACCATAAAGAGACTATACAGAATCATTTAACCACTTGACCTCTGGAAGGTTTTACCCCCTTCATGACCAGAACATTTTTTGCTACTCAGCACTGGTAATTGCTCAGTCATGCAACACTGTACCCAAATGAATTTATATAACTCTTTTTCCACACAAATAGAGCTTTCTTTTGATAGTATTTAATCACCACTGGGTTTTTCATTTTTTTGCTATACATAAAACAAAAAATATTGCGAAAAAAATTTTTTTCTTCTTTAGTTTTTGTTATACGAATTTTAAAACAAATCTTTATTCATAAATTTAGACCAAAATGTAATCTGCTACATTTCTTTGGCAAAAATAACCCAAATCAATGTATATTGTTTAGCCTGTGTGAAAGCTATAGAGCATACAAACTATGGTATAGAAAACAATCCCTTCTTTTAAAATATTAAAATGTTGGTGCTTTGCAGCCTGAAATGAAGACAGACACAGATCTTGTTTTATTATCTAGCTGTATTTACTCAGTGCAACTTATAACATCCAAGTGAAAGATGGAACACCAACACGTCAGAAAAAAAATTCAAAAATAGAATCACTGAAGTTGGAAAAAGGATCACCCCCCCTCCTAAAAATGACTTGTAAACTCAGGTGTAACTAATCTCCTTCTCAATGGCACACAAGCAAGGCCATTTGACTTTCAACTGTGATCACCTGTGGTCATTTTGATTAGCTCAGCATGAAAAGAGCTTTCCTGGAGCATTTCAGTCTCTGATAGTGCAACTATAGCAAACAATCAACTATGATTTCATTCATATTTCAAAGCCATTGTTTCTCATTTTTAGGGACTCTTTAATGACTGGCATAGTACCACTGGATTGGCGTAAGGCCAATGTGGTGTTGATATTTAAAAACGGATCAAAATCTTTACCAAGTAATTATAGACCTGTTAGTTTAACTTCTATAGTTGGGAAGATACTGGAGAGTTTAATAAAAGACCACATAGATGAGTTCTTGCTGGAAAAAAAATATTTTAAACAGACAGCATGGATTTATGAAAGATAAAAGTTGTCAAACAAATCTGATTTCTTTTTATGAGGAGGTGAGCAAAACCTTGGACAGAGGGGTGGCTGTGGATGTGGATGGCGGTGGACGTGGTATATACTTGGACAGAGGGGTGGCGGTGGACGTGGTATACTTGGACAGAGGGGTGGACGTGGTATACTTGGACAGAGGGGGTGGCGGTGGACGTGGTATACTTGGACAGAGGGGTGGCGTGGACGTGGTATACTTGGACAGAGGGGTGGCGGTGGACGTGGTATACTTGGACAGAGGGGTGGCGGTGGACGTGGTATACTTGGACAGAGGGGTGGCGGTGGACGTGGTATACTTGGACAGAGGGGTGGCGGTGGACGTGGTATACTTGGACAAGAGGGGTGGCGGTGGACGTGGTATACTTGGACAGAGGAATGGCGGTGGACGTGGTATACTTGGACAGAGGGGTGGCGGTGGACGTGGTATACTTGGATTTTGCAAAAGCATTTGACACAGTGCCCCACACACGGCTAAAGTGTAAGGTAAAGTCTAGACTTGGAAAAATCTGTATGTAAATGGATAGAAAACCGGCTAAAAGATCGTATTCAGAATAGTGGTTAATGATTCATACTCTGAATGGTCTGGGGTGTCAGTGGTGTACCCCAAGGTTCAGTGTTGGGACCCTTACTTTTTAATACATTTATAAACAATATAGGGTCTGGGATTAAAAATCCCATTTCAGTCTTTGCAGATGACACCAAGCTGTGCAGCGGAATAACGTCCTTACAGGATGTCTTCAATTACAAGCCGACCTCAATGCACTGTTTAATTGGGCAACTATTGGGCATAAAAGGAAGCCATCCACGGTTTACTACGGTCATGTTACCTGCTGTGATTGGTCACAGCAGGTCACATGGTACTGGCAACGGGGCCAGTACACAGATCTGTCACCAGCCGTGTCTGAGGTACACAACTGGTGACAGATCTCGCCACAGCGCGGCCCTGCGCAATCCAGGAAGGACGTAATATGACGCCCTCCCGGCCGTCATTTTACTATAGGCCGGGCGGGAAGTGGTTAATAATGGCAGCAATGCCAAGCTTTCTAAAGTGAGCAAAATCCTCTCTTGTATTAAAAGAGGTAAAGACTTCAGAGAGAGAGAGATATCATTTCCCCCGGTACAAATCATTAGTAAGACCTCATTTGGAATATGCAGTTCAGTTTTGGGCACCAATTCACAAAAAGAACATTGGGGAACTGGAGAAAGTACAGAGAAGGGCAACCAAACTGACACTAGGCATGGAGGAGCTCAGCTATGAGGAAAGATTAGAGGAACTGAATTTATTATCTCCTGAAAAGAGGAGATTAAGGGGGGATATGATCTCCGTGTATAATACATAAGGGGGGATATGATCTCCGTGTATAACACATAAGGGGGGATATGATCTCCATGTATAATACATAAGGGGGGATATGATCTCCGTGGGGGGATATAATACATAAGGGGGGATATGATCTCCATGTATAATACATAAGGGGGGATATGATCTCCATGTATAATACATAAGGGGGATATGATCTCCATGTATAATACATAAGGGGGGATATGATCTCCATGTATAATACATAAGGGGGGATATGATCTCCATGTATAATACATAAGGGGGGGGGGATATGATCTCCATGTATAATACATAAGGGGGGGGGGATATGATCTCCATGTATAATACATAAGGGGGGGGGGATATGATCACCATGTATAATACATAAGGGGGGGGGGGATATGATCTCCATGTATAATACATAAGGGGGATATGATCTCCATGTATAATACATAAGGGGGGGGGGATATGATCTCCATGTATAATACATAAGGGGGGGGGGGATATGATCACCATGTATAATACATAAGGGGGGGGGGGGATATGATCTCCATGTATAATACATAAGGGGGGGGGGATATGATCACCATGTAGAATACATAAGGGGGGGGGATATGATCACCATGTATAATACATAAGGGGGGATCTCCATGTATATCACCATGTAGAATACATAAGGGGGATATGATCACCATGTATAATACATAAGGGGGGATATGATCTCCATGTATAATACATAAGGGGGGATATGATCTCCATGTATAATACATAAGGGGGGATATGATCTCCATGTAGAATACATAAGGGGGGATATGATCTCCATGTATAATACATAAGGGGGATATGATCTCCATGTATAATACATAAGGGGGGATATGATCTCCATGTATAATACATAAGGGGGGATATGATCTCCATGTATAATACATAAGGGGGGATATGATCTCCATGTATAATACATAAGGGGGGATATGATCTCCATGTATAATACATAAGGGGGGATATGATCTCCATGTATAAATACATCAGTGGTTCATATAGTGAACTCGGTGTAGAGTTATTCCCGCTGAGGTCATCACAGAGGACAAGGGGGCACTCTTTATGGCTTGAGGAAAAGAGATTTAATCTCCAAACACAGAAAAGTTTCTTCATAGTGAGAGCTGTGAAAATGTGGAATAGACTCCCTCAAGAGTCTGTTCTGGCCAGCTCAGTGGATTGCTTTAACCTCTTGCCTACAGGGCACTTATACCCCTTCCTGCCCAGACCAATTTTCAGCTTTCAGCGCTGTAGCACTTTGAATGACAAGTGTGCGGTCATGCAACACTGTACCCATATGACATTTTTGACATTTTTTTGCGACAGATACAGCTTTCTTTTGGTGGTATTTAATCACATTTTGGTTTTTTTTTTGCTAAACAAACCAAAAACTGAAAATTTTGAAAAAAAAATTTTTTTTTCTTAGTTTCTGTTATAAAGTTTTGTAAATAAGTGATTTTTCTCCTTCACTGATGTGCACCGATGAGGAGGCACTGGTAGATGGCACTTATGGGCATCGACAGGCATCACTGATGGGCACTGAAAGGCAGCACTCATATGACACTGATAGGTGGCACTGTTCAGCAGCACTGATATGGGGCATTGATGTAGCACTGATGGGGCTACACTGATCATCAGGGCACAGTGATCATCAGTGCCCTGATGATCAGTGTACATGTCCCCTCTGACTAATGCCGATTATCGGCTCTCCTCTCCTCTATCAGAGTGACAGCTCGTGAGGAGAGAAATGCTGATAACTGGCATTTCCTTATTTACATGTAATTAGCTGTGACTGGACACAGCTGATCACATGACAGAGCCGACGTCTTTGGCTCTTTCCATTGATCGGTGATCCGCTGTGCCCCAGGGACACAGCGCACCACCGATTGCCGTGCACCCCCAGGGGCGCGCGCACGCGGTTAGAGTGGGAGGACGTCATATGACATCCTCCCAGAATGAGAGAACTGCCTTGCGCCCGTCATTTCCTTATATGGCGGGTGGGAGGCGGTTAAAAAAGTCCTGGACTCTTTCCTAGATACACAGAATATAACTGAATACTAACATTTATAGGTAACGTTGATCCAGGGAATATCGGATTGCCTCTTAGGGGATCAGGAAGGAATTTTTTACCCCGGCAGGAGCAAATTGGATCATGCTTTGCTGGGTTTTTTTTTTGCTTTCCTCTGGATCAACCGTGGGTGTAGGATTATAACTTTTTTTTTTTTTATATGGTTGAACTGGATGGACTTTTGTCTTTCTTCAGCCAGACTAACTATGTAACTATGGGTGGCAAGGCACGGTCAAAAGATCTCCGGGATAAAGTTGTAGGCAGACACAAGTCAGGAGATGGATACAAAAAAATGTCAAAGGCTTTATCAATGCCTAGAAGAAGAGTGAAATCTATTATTAAGAAATGGAAGGTATTTGGTACAACACAGATGCTCCCTGGATCAGGACGTCGCTCCAAACTGGATGAAAGAGCCAGGAGGAAACTGGCCAGAGAGGCTACCAAGAGGCCTACAGCAACACTGAAGCAGTTGCAGGAATTTATGGCAGATCAGTCAGTGTGCATGTGACAACAATATCACAAATTCTCCACAAATGTGGGTGTATGGGAGGGGTGCACGAAAAAAGCCGCTCATCAAGAAAGGTCACATGCAGTCACGACCAAGCTTTGCCAAAATGCACCTTGGAAGATTATGAGGCCACATGGAAAAAAGTCAGGTGAGACTAAAATTGAATAATTTGGTCCCAACACTAAATGATATGTCTGGAAATCCAATACAGCTCAGTAGCCAAATAACACATTTCCTATAGTAAAGAATGGGGGGGGGGGGGGGAATATCCTGTTATGGGGGGGGTCTCTGCAGCAGAGACTGGAGTACTTGCCAGGATGGAAGGAAAAATTCTTGAAGGAAAATCTGCCGTCCTCTGCCAGAAAGTTGTAAATGGGAAGAAGATTTACCTTCCAACATGACAATGACCTAAAACACAGCAAAACTGAGTATACAGTGGTTGGAGAAGAAAAAAGTGAATGTCCTTGCATGACCTGGTAACCCCATTGAAAATCTGTGGAAAGACTTGAAGGCTGAAGTCCACAAAACTGTCAACATCAAATTGAACTCAACTTGAGAAGTTCGGCAAAGAAGAGCGGGCAAATACTGCAAAGTCCAGATGTGCAAAGTTAGTAGGGACATCCCAATAGACTAAAGGCTGGAATAAAGCAAAAAGGTGGTTCAACAAAATACTGACATGAGGGGTGATCGTTTTATCAACTCAGTGATTTGGTTTTTGAATTTTATTCTGACATCTGAAATGTCTTTCACTTGGATGTTTTAAGTTGCACTGAGTAAATACAGTTGGATTAAACAAAAATTGTGTCTTCATTTCAGGCTGCAAAGCAACAAAATGTGATTATTTTAAAAGGAGGGGTGGGAAGTCTTTTCTATACCCGCTGTATATGAAAACTGATCAATCCTGATGCACTGATCGCCTAGCTCATTTCTTGAGGCTATAAAATGCCAGGACAGTACAAACAGCCCCCAAATAGCCCCTTTTTGAAAAGTAGACAGTCCAAGGGGTTTAGTAAGAGGCATAGCGAGTTCTTGGAAGTTGTAATTTTTTTTTTGTCACAATTTTTTGGAAAATGAAGAAATAAAGTTGTTTTTTCTTACATACCGATCTATACTGTTGGTCACTGTAACAGAAATCATTTGACATGTCATGAATGGCTTTCATTCATGACTCATTGTTTACTATTGTGATGCTGGGATTGGTCACAGCCATCACATGGTACAGAGTGCTGTGATTGGCCCAGGTATCATGTGATCACTGGTGATCACATACAGTAGTGCACAATGATGTCAAGAATGGATTCCATTCACGACTATTGTACTAGGTGACATGTGATTGCACAGCGATCAGGTGGTTTCTGGTCCGATCACAGCAGCTCAATACTGAGCACTGGACACAACGGCTGCAGATTGCACTGCTGTGCACCCCAGGCGGTGTGCGCAGTGCACATGACCAGGGCGACACACTGGTAAGTTGTGGTGCCTGCTCAAGCCAACGGCAGCAGTAAAATTACTGTTGGCTAGTCGGTAAGTGGTTAATAAATCAATATATTCCATCTCAATGTTAATTGCCCAACAAACTGTCCATCTGGGTACACAACAGAACCCTTTCCAGTGTTACGTGCAGAACAGTCATCCTCAGGAGATAAGATCCAGAAGTAAGGCAGAGATAACACCAGATGTGAAATTGGAACTATAAAGACAACTTGGAATACTCTGCTGGGGGAGTCCATGATGGCCAGTAAGAGGTCAACAGAGAAACATTTTTAATGGAAAAGGTTCTTAAAACCATAGCCATGAGATGACGATCTCTTATCTATGGTATCTCTGGGAGAAAGAGGTTAGAAAACCCACCTCAACCGCTACCTCTGAGAACACTTGGCCAACCTGAAAGACAAATGTCTTTGTCGTAAACAAAGCCAGACACATAGATAAATAGGTGTGATATGCCTGTGAAGGCGGAACTCCTTGACTGGGCTTCTCAATGTATTCTTACTGGATGGCTAGAATTTATTACACCTGTCACTGTATCTATACACACCAATTTACCCCTACAGATTAGGACTTTTTGACATTCATTTCTCAATCCTGAACCATTCAAATATACAGTAGGCAGAAGGTTTTGTACTGCAAAAAGGCACCTGTAACCCTGACATATTGGGGTTTATTTACTAAAGCTGGAGAGTCCAAAATCAGACTCCCTTCTGCATAGAAACCAATCATCTTCCAGGTTTCATTGCCAAAGCTTCATTGAACAAGCTGAGGTTAGAAGCGGATTGGTTTCTATGCAGAAGGGAGTCTGATTTTGGACTCTCCAGCTTTAGTAAATAAACCCCATTGGGTCTCTCTGTTGTAGTTGAAGGATATCCCTCTCCCTCTATAAACTGTCCTCCTGCGTGAGTACATAGATCTTACCGGTGGTAGGGAAGCAGATGAGTAAACATTAGGTGGAGCCATTGGAAGTGTCTGGCTAGGTAGCCCTGTGGCAGGATCCTGCTGAAGCTGAGGAGGGGTCAGGTAGGGATTAATCCGGCTGCTCTGGGTGTTGTGGCGGTAGGGATTATAGGCTGCCTGGGAGGAGACAGTAGGAGCAACAGAGAAGGTGCTCGGGGGAGGGCAGATGGAGCCTCCACCCACTTCACTAGGAGGTGGAGTATTGGAAGGATATGGAGACATGGTCCTTGGAGGGGTAATGCTCTGTCCATTCTGAATTGTGGAGGGTAGCGGCACCGATGCTGGAGATCTGGAGAAAGCGACAGGACCGGATGTTGAAGGTGCTGTGGATGCAAGTGTCTGTCCAATACTGGCGAATGGATCATTCGAGCTGGTCAGACTTGTTGTCTGTGAAAAATAACTGAAGGTCTGTGGTGTACTGTTCAAACTGGATGTTTGTCCCAAGAAACTGTCCTCTTCCCCCACTTCTACCGACTCATCTGCAACTGAGAGAGACAAAGGTCAGAACAGCGCACACCGCATGAACAACACTATACTATGGTATGGAGCCCAACTAAAAGTGATTCTAAAGGCCTAAATTATTTAAAAAAAAAACAAAAAACAACAAAACATGTCTATATACTTACCTGATCTGTGCAGGGGTTTTGCACACACCAGCTCGGATCCTCCTCGTCGGGTCCCCCCGCCGGTGCTCCTGGCCCCTCCCTCCCGTTGGGTGCCCTACGGGGGCACCCTGGCATGCGCACTCTCCAGCCACTGCTCCGTGTTACCATTTACAAACGGAGCTGCAGCTCGGCCCCCCCTCTCTTCTCATTGGCTCACTGGCTGTGATTGACAGCAGCAGGAGCCAATGGCTCCCGTTGCTGTCTCAGGCAGTGAGGAGAGGGAGTCCCGGGATAAGCAGAGACTCCAGTGCACATCACTGGATCAAAAGGGGGCTTAGGTGAATATGGGGGGGCTGCTGCACACAGGTTTTTTTTATCTTCATGCATAGAATGCATGAAGCTAAAAAAAAAAAACCTTGAGCCTTTACAACCACTGTTTAATGTGTCCTTATACTATACACAAATGTTTAAAATGTTTTAATATGTTCTTATACTATATATAAAAATACACCCATGCAACAAATACAGGAGAAATCCAACTCACCATGCTGCAAAGTGTCTAAAAAATATGTTCCCCACAGCATGCTATATGTTTACAGGGGATGGCATAGTCTACTGATGTATAGTACACATGATATTACTACAGTCAGTGAGGAGAATAGAGTGTAATATAGACGGGGAGGGTGCAGTATACAGTGGGGATCGAAAGTTTGGGCACCCCAGCTAAAAATTTGTATTAATGTGCGTAAAGAAGCCAAGGAAAGATGGAAAAATCTCCAAAAGGCATCAAATTACAGATTAGACATTCTTATAATATGTCAACAAAAGTTAGATTTTATTTCCATCATTTACACTTTCAAAATAACAGAAAACAAAAAAAATGGCGTCTGCAAAAGTTTGGGCACCCTGCAGAATTTATAGCATGCACTGCCCCCTTTGCCAAGCTGAGACCTGCCAGTGTCATGGATTGTTCTCAATCATCGTCTGGGAGAACCAGGTGATGTCAATCTCAAAGGTTTTAAATGCCCAGACTCATCTGACCTTGCCCCAACAATCAGCACCATGGGTTCTTCTAAGCAGTTGTCTAGAAAACTGAAACTGAAAATAGTTGACGCTCACAAAGCTGGAGAAGGCTATAAGAAGATAGCAAAGCGTTTTCAGATGTCAATATCCTCTGTTCGGAATGTAATTAAGAAATGCCAGTCATCAGGAACAGTGGAAGTTAAAGCAAGATCTGGAAGACCAATAAAAATATCAGACAGAACAGCTCGCAGGATTGTGAGAAAAACAATTCAAAACCCATGTTTGACTGCACGATCCCTCCAGAAAGATCTGGCAGACACTGGAGTTGTGGTACACTATTCCACTATAAAAGAGATACTTGTACAAGTATGGTTTTCATGGAAGAGTCATCAGAAGAAAACCTCTTCTACGTTCTCACCACAAAAATCATCGTTTGAACTTTGCAAATGAACATATATAGACAAGCCTGATGCATTCTGGAAACAAGTTCTGTGGACCGATGAGGTTAAAATTGAACTTTTTGGCCGGAATGAGCAAAGGTACGTTTGGAGAAGAAGGGGCACAGAATTTAATGAAAAGAACCTCCGTCCAACTGTTAAGCCCGGGGTTGGATCAATCATGCTTTGGGGTTGTGTTGCAGCCAGTGGCACAGGGAAAGTCTCACGAGTAGAAGGAAAAATGGATTCAATAAAATTTCAGCAAATTTTGGATGGTAACTTGATGCCATCTGTGAAAAAGCTGAAGTTAAAGAGAGGATGGGGCTTCTACAAATGGATAATGATCCTAAACACACCTCAAAATCCACAGGGGATTACATCAAGAGGCGTAAACTGAAGGTTGTGCCATGGCCTTTCACAATCTCCTGACCTCAACATAATTGAAAATCTATGGATAGACCTTAAAAGAGCAGTGCGTGACAGACAGCCCAGAAATCTCAAAGAACTGGAAGACTTTTGTAAGGAAGAATGGGCAAAGATGCCTCAAACAAGAATTGAAAGACTCTTGGCTGGCTACAAAAAAAAAAGCGTTTACAAGCTGTGATATTTGCCAAAGGGGGCAGTACAAGATATTAACTCTGCAGGGTGCCCAAACTTTTGCAGACGCCATTTTTTTGTTTTCTGTTATTTTGAAAGTGTAAATGATGGAAATAAAATCTAACTTTTGTTGACATATTATAAGAATGTCTAATCTGTAATTTGATGCCTTTTGGAGATTTTTCCATCTTTCCTTGGCTTCTTTATGCACATTAATACACATTTTTAGTTGGGGTGCCCAAACTTTCGATCCCCACTGTACAAGCAAATATACATGTACAGTAATATGCAACTGTCCTAAGCTGGCCATACACTATATAAAAAACTGTATAATCTACTTTAGATTTGCCAAAACTGTAATAAGAAGTCAAATATAAGTCATTTATTCAATTTTGTGTCAAATCAGGTAGATGCTTGCACTACACACTGTAGTTGGTGTATCTAAAGGAGATTTTCCTTTTGGATTATAGAGTATAATAGTAAAGTCTTAAAGGAGACGTTCATCTTTGTAAAAAAAATAAAAGCACATCTTTGTGTAGGTAAAAAATGTGCATTATTATAAATTTTATTTATTTCTTTTTTACTTGGAGCCTGCAAAGCATCGCACCCATGTTCAGCAGATCACTGGCATAATATTATATTTCAGGTACTTATATAGCGCCGTCACTTTATGCAGAGCTTTACATATATATTGTACATTCATATTAAGTCCCTAACCCTCCAGGGGCGAACAATCTAAGGTCCCTAACTCACATTCATACATATACATATTAGGGCCAATTTAGACAGGAGCCAATTAACCTACCAGTATGTGCCTTTGGAGTGTGAAAGGAAACCGGAGTACCCAGAGGAAACCCACACAGGCAAAGGGAGAACGTGCAAACTCCAGGCAGGTGGTGCTGTGGGTGGGATTTGAACCAATGACCCTAGTACTCGCCAGGCGAAGTGCTGACCATTTAGCCACTGTGCTGCCCATGTAATACAGGACTCCTGTGACTGTCAATGTAAGCTGTCTGCTTGTACCTCATCGTGAGGGCAAACAGCTACACAATAACAATCAATGCCCTAAGATTTGTTTTTATTACATCAAAATTAACCACTTGCCGTCCGCCTGCTGTTTATATAAACGGCTGGACGGTGGCACTAAACCTCCAGGGGCGGTTGCCATTCATAAATGGCACCCGCCATTTCTAGCTGTGCGCGCTCCTGGGGGAGCGCGCAGCACCGCAATCCGGTGCCTGCTGTGTGCTCTGGACACAGTGAAATACCGATTGTCGACGGGACCTCTGTACGAGGTCCCGATCATGTGATCACTGATTGGCCAATCAGTGATCACATGCAAAGTAGTAAGCAAGATGTCCCTTGTGACATCATTGCTTACTACATGTGAAATCTGTGAATGATCACAGAGGTCAACATGGTACAAGACTGTTGTGACAATGTGACAAGCTGTGACCAATCACAGCTTCACTCAGTAGTCTCAATGGCTGCAAGAATGCAGACAGAGAGAGAGAGAAATTATTGCTTTTACATATTATGTGGGGTGTAAAAGCAATCACTTTAAAAAAAATCTTCATCACCCTCCACAAGTAGTACAGTGTCACCCATGGTGACACTGTACTGCTAGGGTGACCGTATGTAAAAAACAAAAAAAAAACAAATATAAAAAAGAATGTTTAAAAATTATAATTTTTGGTTATAAACTAATTTGCCTTATTTGTTTTTTACTAAAAATAACGGAATAAATTTTGGGCAAGATTTATGATTAAATATTATTTGCAAAATTTTATAAGACAAAAACACTTTAAAAAATTTTTTGGACATTTTCATTTACATAGCAAAAAAAATAAAAATCCCAGCGGTGAATAAATACCACCAAAAAAAAAGCTTTATCTGTCTCAAAACAAATGGTTTAAAAACTTCATATGGGTACAGTGTTGCATGACCGCGCAATTGCCAAAGTGTGATAGCGCTGAAAGCTAAAAAATTGCCCTGGACAGGAAGGGGGGTGAAAAGTAAGTGTCTGGACTGGAAGTGGTTAAGTAAACAGAAATAAAACAAAAGAATTCATCTTTGGTGTGACCACCATTTGTCTTAGATATGCTTGAAGGTCCTCCCATGGCAAATCCAACATCTTGGAGAACTCTGGTGGTCTTCCTTCATTTCGATTTTGTAGGAATTTGCAGACTGGCTCGGTGAGGCTCAGACCTGGGTTGTGTGGGGACACCATAGCTGTTGCTGGATTCCTCTTTTTGCTGCAGATAGCTCTTAATGATTGGATGACATGGGGTGTTTGGAGACATTGTCATGCTGCAGAATAAGGCCTTGTTCACACAGGCGTACCATAGTGTACTGAGTAGGTCTTCCATGCATCCCTGTGCTGGCAGTCCCATTCACATCAACTGAATGCAGCAGCTGCCGTGATCTTGTAATAACCACATGATGACCGGAAATCTATAGAAGTATTATTCTATCGTATTGTTTTATACATATGTTGGTCAGCAAGTAGTTAAGGCATTCACATAGGCTGCTTTGAATAAAACCGCATATTATTATTATACAGGATTTATATAGCGCCAACAGTTAGCCCAGCGCTTTACAATATAAAGGGAGACAATACAGCAACAATACAAGAGGGTTAGGAGGGCCTGATCCTGGGAGCTTACAATCTAGGAGATGCATGTTGGCTTTTCCACTGCATTTTCTGAGTGCCTAATACCCAGCATGCACATGTGAAACTTGGACATGCAACTCAAAAAAAATCAACCACGGGTTGATTCATTGCAATTGGGAGGTGCATTTTTGGTGCAGTTTCTTAACATGCACCAAAAAAAATGCAGAAAGCAGGACTTTTAAAAATGCAACTGATTGGTGTGAAGAATTCCATAGGATTTAAAAGGGTGCATTTTTCTTCTGCTTTTTTTTTTTTTTTTAACAGAAAGACTAATCAGTGTGAAAAGGCCCTTAACCACTTAAGCTCCAGAAAGTTTTACGCCCTTCATGACCAGGCCATTATTTGCTATTCAGCACTGTTCTACTTTAATTGGAAGTTGCACGGTCATGCAACACTGTACCCAAATGAAATTTATATTTTTTTTTCACACCAATAGAGCATTCTTTTGGTGGTATTTAATCACCAGTGGGTTTTTTATTACATGAATGAAAAAGAATATTTAAAAAAAAAAACACACAGGCAAAAAAAAAAAAAAAAAAAAATGTATTATATATTTTTATTTCAGGTACTTATATAGTGCCGTCAATTTATGCAGCACTTTACATATATATTGTACATTCACATCAGTCCCTAACCCTCAACGAGCGTACAATATATATATATATATATATATTTATATTTTTTTTTTTTTTTTTTTACTTTCTGTTATTAAACATATCCAATAAAAAATTTCTTTACAAATTTAGGACAAATTGTATTCTGCTACAGGTCTTTCGTCTTTTGTGGCATTTGATCACCTCTGCAGTTTTTATTTTTTTTGTGCGATAAACAAAAAAAGACCGACAATTTTGAAGAAAAAAAACCCATGATTTTTGTGACTATTTGCTATAAAACCTATCCAATAAAATTTTTTTTAAAAAAAAAAAAATCAAATTTCATCATACATTTAGGCCAAAATGTATTCTGTGACATGTCTTTGCTAAAAGAAAAAAAAAAAACAAAAACAAAAAAAAAATCACAATAATTGTATATTAATTGGTGTGAAGGTTATAGAGCCTACAAACGATAGTATCTATTAACCTATCATTGGCTTTCCAACAAGATTGGAAGTGGATTGCATTGTGTATTACGCCTTTTAAAAGGAACAAATTTTTACTTTGTATTTTAAGTTGTGTGAGGTGAGGGACACTGGATGCTTTGACATCACACTTTTATGCAAAGTGATTCTTTTTGTACAAAATTTATTTCACGAATATATCTTTTTTTTTTTTTTTCTCTTGTTGTTGCACCTGATGGTGGACATTAAGGAGTTTGTTTATTTGGATTTAATAATAATGAACACATGGTTTGTGAACAGAGTTGCACAATATTTCGAAACTGAATTGTTGATATATTTTATGTAGTATTATTTTAACACTTTTTCTTGTTTTAGATAGTTTAACACGAGGTTTTGAGCGTGGTTATTTACATATTTGTTTCTATCAACGGTCTGACACCCTTGCTGAAATTTTTTTCACCGGCTTCTTCTGGGTGACTGTCTTCGGCTATCTTTATTGGCCAGCACAGAATGATGTCCCTCCTGCGCATGCACAGGAATTGAGCCATTCCAGCACACAGGCAATGGTGCTGGAAAGTAAACTGAGCAGGCAGGTAGGTTTGTTTTATTGCAGAAGAGACATTACATGTGCAGGCAAGTGCCTGTCTGCTTACGTTTTTTTTATTTAGTTTCCCAAAACAATTACAATCAAGAAATGCCATTAATGGCAACCGAACTATCACACTATCAAATGGCTGGTGTCATAACTTATCACATGGCAATATCACAGCAAATGCAAAGCAGAGGCTACAGTGGCAGCTTCCTGGGCAGAGGAGGATTTAGATCGGCTTTTAAAGCAATACTTAAAGCCCAAATCTGAGTAAATAAATGATCCCATGCAGTGGAGCTGCGCCCGCACTACAAGGTTTACAAGGGGAGAGGAGAACCACTTTTACTTACCTGATCCACTGGTCCTCTGACCGATGGACACCCCCTCCCCCCCCATGCTCTGGTGGTGGACTGTCCCTCGGAATCCTCATGCCCAGTGCAGGGCTATGGACCCTGCTTTGGACTTGACAACATCAGGATCCTAGCCTGGTGGAACATGGGGCTGTAGAAGCTGCAGGGACTGCTCTAGCCATGGGGAAGAGCAGAGGATGAGAGAAGTAAATCTTTTACTGTTCCCCTAGGCATAGCAAGCAATTAACCCTTGCAGTGCAGACACCGCCACACTGCAAGGGATAATTTGCCTGGAGTTGGGCTTTAACTCCCAAAAGGGAGCTAGTTCTGTTTTAACAATCCCTCCCTGCATTTATTATATACAGTGTATATAGGGTGATGTATATATTATATATAAGGTGTGTACAGAGTGATGTATATACTATACGTTCTTTCACTGGGGGAGGCGTGGTGTATATATTATATACGGTGTATACAGGACAAGGTATATAGTATATATGGTGTGTACATGGGGGTATGTATAAGGGGTGTACATATTGTATACAGTGTGATGAATATATTATATCTGGTGTACACAGGGAGTGTATATAGGGCAAGGTATATATTATATATGGTGTGGAATATATATATGGTGTATACACAGAGAGAGGGGTGATGTATATATTAAATACGGTGTGTACAGGGTGATGTATGTATTGTATAGGGGGTATATATAGGGGCAAGGTATATATAATATATGGTGTGTGCATGGGGGGTGTATATAGGGTGATGTATATATTATAGGGTGTATACACAAGGGGAATGGTGATGTATATTTTGCACAGGGTATATACACAGGGGGAGGGGTGATATGTATATTATATAGGGTGTATACAGAGGGGGGGTGATGCATATATTATATAGGGTGTGTAAACAGAGGAGGGGGGGTAATATATGTCATTTAGGGTGTACACAGAGGAGGAGGGGGTAATATATGTCATATAGGGTGTATACAGAGGGGGAGGGGTGATGTGTATATTATATAGGGTGTATACAGAGGGGGAGGGGTGATGTATATTATATAGGGTGTATACAGAGGGGGAGGGGTGATGTGTATATTATATAGGGTGTATACAGAGGGGGAGGGGTAATGTATATATTATATAGGGTGTATACAGAGGGGGAGGGGTGATGTGTATATCATATAGGGTGTATACAGAGGGGGAGGGGTAATATATGTCATATCGTGTGTATACAGAGGGGGAGGGGTAACATATGTCATATCGGGTGTATACAGAGGGGGAGGGGTAACATATATCATATCAGGTGTATACAGAGGGGGAGGGGTAACATATATCATATCGGGTGTATACAGAGGGGGAGGGGTAACATATACATATCGGGTGTATACAGGACATCATACACAGATTACATACCGGTGGGTACAGGTCCGGTGACCGGGATGAAGGGAACGGTGAAGCTGAGCTCCCCGGTGGAGAAGAGAAGGTTGTTATTGTTATTACTGCCCCCTTTTGTGGCCCCCGGGACTCCCCGGCTCCCTCTCTTATCCGCCATGTTGCCCTGACACGGCGGCTCCACGTCTCCAGCCGGATCCGGTAAACTGACAGCTCCTCGTCCAATCAACACACGCCCCAGGGTATTTTTCCCCGCCCATCTGCCATTTTCAAGCCAATCGATACCGGGAGATCTTCGGCTCAATCAGAGGCTGTGCATGAGATTCCGTGGCGGATAGGATAGCCAATCAGAGGATGCCTGGTCCGTCATGTGATTGTTTCCTCCTGCCATCCACAACATGGCTTTCCATGGAGAACTTCCGCCATGCAGCCTTTTCCCCGCCCTAGATGTAATGACGACATTTTCCCGCCACTCCGGCTTGCTGTGAGGAAGATGCTGCTGTCTGGAGGAGTCACGTGTCCGCCCGTTACCGGAGACTGGATTACGGAGCCGCTTCGCTGTGTGCAGTGGCTGTACGGTGAGCAAGATGGAGCGGTGTTTACTCCGTGCCCAGAATGTCATGGACCTCTAGACCGATGCCGGCCTACTAAACCGGAGAGAGTGCAATCGAACATGGGCTGTCCGGTGTACCGAGACCGGAGCTCCATTACACCTCTGAAAGTTACAGTAGAACTATAAGCAACACTTTGTTTCCCTTTGGATGAAGTAAGGGAGGGATCTAACCCCGGGCAAGTTTGTTTGCCATCTGTGTCCCATTGGGGAGATTTCCCTTCACTTCCTGTCCCATAGCCAAACCGGAAGTGAGGAAATCCCTGCAAATTAAGGGAGGTCCCCCTTGGGGATCCCCAAGTCATTAGAACTAGTGTCCTCATTGGAGGATTCCCCCTCTATTACTGATCTAAGGACAACACCAATGTTGGATCTACGTTAACTTGATGGTAACAAAAATATTCAGGATGAATAGAGAGGAGGATCGTCCTAATGGGGACACAGACCGCAAACAGGTGTTCTAATCCCTCTCCAAACGCCATCCAAACCAGAACTAATTCCTTGTGCCTTTACTTGTGCTTTACAACAGGGGAAGTGTTAGGGCCGGTGTAGAGTAATGGCGGCTCTTTCTGCCCCATTGGAAAGGCAATCTGAATTCTGGCATTCAGAGGGCAGGTGGCTGGGAAGGGGTCGCTGCAACCCGGGAAGGGTCGCTGCGAGCCGGGAACTGCAAGCCGGGTCGCTGCAAGCCGGTCGCTGCAAGCCGGAAGGGGTCGCTGCAAGCCGGGAAGGTCCCCATTAACTGTGCACTTTGATGTTCCATGGTGGTTACTGATCCCGGACACTACAGGAGGTGGAATATTTACTGCAACATGTATACAAACCTTCCCCCGCTCAGTGCAGGGGATTCCTTAACCACTTGCCCTCCTGAGGATTTACCCCCCTTCATGATCAGGCCATTTTTTTTTCTTGGCGATACATCGCTGCGTAACTTTAACTGACAATTGGCTTCACGGTCGTGCAATGCTGCACCCAAATGAAATGTATTTCCTTTTTTTATTTTTTGTGGTATTTGATCACCTCTGCAGTTTTTTGTGCTATAAAACCAAAAAAAGACCGACAATTTGAAGAAAAAAAACATGGTTTTTGACTTTATTGCTATAAAACATCCAATAAAAAAAAAAGTTTAATCTAATTTCATCATAAATGTAGGTCCAAAAAATGTTTGTTACACACAGGTCTCTCCCCTGTCGCTTTGCCGACAACAGACTCAGAAGATTGACATCCCCAGCAGCCAATAGCAGCACGGGTAGGGCGTGCACACGACCTTTACCCGGAAATGCAAATTGCGTATATTACGTGATTTTCGCAGCCCTGGCACCCTGCAGCAGTACATCTGCTATAGGGTGGCAGGCCAAGCGGTTAAAGTGATATTAAAGGCAATTTAAAAAAAAAAAAAAAGTATATGTGTGTGTATCTTCTCAGGTCCCCCACCGACACCTTTGGCCCCTCCCTCTTTTCATGGAGGCACCCAAGCAGGATTGCTTAACCGATCTGCTGCTCTGCATTTCCATTCATACACAGAGCTTTAGCTCGGCCCCACCTCTCTCGCTCTCGTCTCATTGGGTCACTGTCTTGAGATTGACAGCAATGGGAGCCAGTGGTCTCAGCCAATGAGGAGAACCCAAGTGATCAAGCCCTTGTGGTGCACATTGCTGCATCGTGATGGGGCTCAGGTAAGTATTAAGGGGGCTGCTGCAACGGGTTTTATTTTTTTTGTTTTGCTTTTTCACCTTCATGCATGGAATTCATGAAGGTACAAAAAAAACTTGATCTTTTTTGAAGAACCACTTTAAGGGGGGGGCAGTCAAAGCGCAGCTCACCTGACTGTTTATTTTCTTTTTTTTCAATACCAACAGCAGTAAGGGTAACTGCAAAACTGCTTTTATCCTCCCCCCCCCCCCCCCCCAGACCTTTTTTTTTGTTCTTGTTTTTTTTTATAATGGCAACTGGTTCTGAAAAACTAGAACCATACACAGCAATTTTTCTCTTTCTTTTCCCAGGTCCTCTTCCCCTCTTTTCCCTTTCCTCTTTTTCCCTTTCCTCTTTTCCCCCTTTCCTCTTTTCCCTTTCTCTTTTCCCTTTCTCTTTTCCCTTTCCTCTTTTCCCTTTCCTCTTTCCCCTTTCCTCTTTTCCTTTCCTCTTTTTTCCCTTCCCTCTTTTCCCTTTCCTCTTTTCCCTTTCCTCTTTTATCCCTTTCCTCTTTTCCCTTTCCTCTTTTTCCCTTTCTCTTTTCCCTTTCCTCTTTTCCCTTTCCTCTTTTCCCTTTCCTTCTTTTCCCTTTCCTCTTTTCCCTTTCCTCTTTTCCCTTTCCTCTTTTCCCTTTCCTCTTTTCCCCTTTCCTCTTTTCCCTTTCTCTTTTCCCCTTTCCCTCTTTTCCCTTTCCTCTTTTCCCTTTCCCTTTTCCCTTTCCTCTTTTCCCTTCCTCTTTTCCCTTTCCTCTTTTCCCTTTCCTTTTTCCCTTTCCTTTTTTCCCTTTCCTCTTTTTCCCTTTCCTCGGCTTTCCCTTTCCTCTTTTCCCTTTCCTCTTTTCCCCTTTCCTCTTTTCCCTTTCCTTCTCTTTTCCTTTTCCTCTTTTCCCTTTTCCTCTTTTCCCTTCCTCTTTTTCCTTTTCCTCTTTTCCCTTTCCTCTTTTTTCTCTTAAGGCGACATGGCCCCCTTTCCTCTCCCTTTCCTCTTTTCGGTGGCCCTGTAAGCTATAGGGGACCTTGCACCCGTGTGGTCTGGAGCCTTGGGCCAGATTTCCACTGTGTGCTGGGTTTTTTGGCTACAGCTGGGTTGTATGGGCACTTATGTATGTTTTATGGGTTCACACTAGCTGTGGGCTGGTTCCGGTGTGCAAGAATCGCATCTGTTTCTTGCACCTTTTACAACCACTTGGGCTGCTGTCAGTCTGAATGCGACCCCCAATGCATCTTTTATTTCAACGTGATCACGGTGCAAAAAAACACATGTAAGGGGTACAACTGCAAAAGACCATGCGGGTTTTCCCTTCGGCTGCATTTTTAAAAGGAGATACATGTAGGTTTTTTGTGTGGGACACTCGGCAAATGCAGCAAGAAGAATTAAAAAAAAAAAAACGCGAATAGTGCCATAAGGATTACATGGTCTCACATTTTTTTTATTTATTTTTTGTTCACTTTTTTAATGCAAAAGCTTAAGAAAAATGGATCCGTGTGAACCTCTTGCATGCATTTTTTGGCTCTTTTTTGACTTTCCTTTTAGTTTGCCTGTTTTTCCTGTGTTTTCTCTTCCCCTTTTCAAGCTCACGCTGAAAAGACGATGCGTCTTTCCCGGACACAGCACATTGGCATTTGGCCGTAACCACTTTTTCCAGAAAAAAACGCTGCAAAAACACAACGACCTAGTAGAAGTCGATGGGACCAGCGAGAAATGCGTATAAATTAGGCATATTTACCCTAACTGTGGCCAAAACACAGCACAGCGTACATTAACCTGGCCGTAACCACTTTCTACAGCCATTTAAAGAACACAAGGTTAACATTCCTTTTATTGTTCCCTTTGAATTTTTTAACTTTCCAGAGGCCGGTAGCAGTTCATTTTTGAAATGCCTGATAAGTTCCTCTTGCAGGAGGTTTTACTGTGGCACGCACCACTTTTTTTTGCTGCCAGGAAGTTCCTTTAATTCCCTTTCCCTCCTGAATTCTAAGCTGGCAGCACTTTATAGGAAACGTCTATGAGGGAGCTATCCTCTTTTCCAGGCTGGAAGTTTTCTGTAATTGGAAAGGAGTGGGCTATTTCAGGATGCAGACCTATATGTAGAGGTTTAATATTATTTTACATACATTGTTGTTTCAGAGGAGAGTGGGGCTCTTCCAGGCTGGGAGCAGAAGGTGACAAACTATTTCCAGGAGAAGATACAGGAGAAGCAGTTTTTGCTGGGTTCCTTTTGGCCTGGTGGGCACTGTATTGGGGACTACATTTAACAGATAAGCTCACCTTTTTTTACAACTGTTACATGCGATACATAGGGTGCCCCTGAACATGTAAGGACCCTTGCCCACTGGCTGCAGGTCACCCACCTTGGGCTGTCACTTTGCTGGAGTTTTCTGGCTAAGCTCCACCTGGGTGGGATGTTTCTTGCACCTGCAGCAGAGATGCGTTGGGCTGCTGTCATTCTGAATGCGACCCCCATGCATCTCCGCCTTCAACGTGATCACGGGTGCAAAAAAACACATGGTGAAAAAGACCATGCGGGTTCCCTTCGGCTGCATTTTTAAAAGGATACATGTAGGTTTTTTGTGTGGGACACTCGGGCAAATGCAGCAAGAAGAATTAAAAAAAAACAAAACGCGAATAGTGCCATAGGATTACACGGTCTCACATTTTTATTTATTTATTTTTTGTTCACTTTTTTAATGCAAAAGCTTAAGAAAAATGGATCCGTGTGAACGCAGCCTTGCATGCATTTTTTGGCCAGAGACCCATTGACTTCTTTTAGTTTGCGTGTTTTTGCTGTGTTTTCTGAAAGCTCATGAAAGATGCGTCTTTCTGGACTGCTGCACTTTCAGAAAACGCTGCAAAAACACACGACCTAGTAGAAGTCGATGGGACTGCAGCGAGAAATGCGTATAAATTAGGCATATACCATAACTGTGGCCAAAACACAGCACAGCGGCATTAACCTGGCCGTAACCACTATTCTACAGCCATCGCCAAAGACACAAGGTATAATATTGCCTTTTATTGTCTCTGTGAAGATTTTGTAACTTTCCAGAGGCCGGTAGCAGTTCATTTTTGAAATGCCTGAGAAGTCTGTGCAGGAGGGTTAGGTAATGTGGCACGCACCACTTTTGACAGTTTGCTGCCAGGAAGTTCCTTTAATTCCCGGATTCCTGAATTCTAAGCTGGCAGCACTTTATAGGAAACGTCTATGAGGGAGCTATGCTGTTCCAGGCTGGAAGTTTTCTGTAATTTGGAAAGGAGTGGGCTATTCAGGTTGCAGACGCTATATGTAGAGGTTTAATATTTTTACATACATTGTGTGTTTCAGAGGAGAGTGGGGCTCTTCCAGGCTGGAGCAGAAGGTGACAAACTATTTCCAGGAGAAGATACAGGAGAAGCAGTCATGCTGGGTAAGTTGTGGCCCTGGTGGGCACTGTATTGGGCTACATTTAACAGATAAGCTCACCTTTGTAAACATGTTACATGCTCTACATTTTTTTTAGGGTGGAACATGTAACATGTTCCCACTGCTGCAGTCACCACCTGCTGTCTTCTCTGCCTGTGAGAGTAGTATGGGGGGGGAGCTACCCTCATACTACCTGCCAGTTTTTTAAAACAGCGCGGCTGTGTGGGGGCTCTGCCTACATGGTCATGTCATTCATTCAGTGTTCTGTGTTTGTGTATGAGTGTGTGTGTGTGTGTATATGTATATATGTGTGTGTGTGTATGTGTGTGTGTATATATGTATGTGTGTGTATATATGTGTGTGTGTGTATACATACATACATACATACATACATACATATGTGTGTGTGTATATATATATATATAGTGAATTTAACCATGGAATATGTTGAAAATTGCACCAAGGCACACTTGGGTTCAGGTGAATTCAAGCTTGGTACCGTTGTCACCTGTGCTTCCCTAGTTCCAGTGAAGGGAACTCTTAAGGTGTTGGCAAACCAAGACATTTTGGACAATTTCATGCTCCCAACTTTGTGGGGACAGTTTGGGGATGGCCCCCTCCTGTTCCAACATGACTGCACACCAGTGCACAAAGCAAGGTCCATAAAGATGTGGAGGATCTTGACTGGCCTGCACAGAGTCCTGACTTCAACCCGATAGAACACCTTTGGGATGAATTAGAGCGGAGATTGTGAGCCAGACCTTCTCGTCCGACATCAGTGCCTGACCTCACAAATGCGCTTCTGGAAGAATGGTCAAACATTCCCATAGACACCCACCTAAACCTTGTGGACGGCCTTCCCAGAAGAGTTGAAGCTGTTATAGAAGCAAAGGGCTGGCCAACTCAATATTGAACCCTACGGACTACGACTGGGATGCCATTAACTGCTTCCTGGCCGCCCTATGGCAGAAATACTGCTGCAGGGCGGCATGGGTGTGCAAAATCATGTATATATACAGGTCATTTTGCACATATGGGTAGGGGGTGCACGTGACCTATACGTGCCGCCATTCGTGGCCGCAGCTGTCAATCACCGGTCCCGGGTTTGTGAATACCCGCCGGCGCCCAGTGTTTACCAAAAATCACAGACGTGGAGGTGGGCTGCTTTGTTTACCAACAGTCCTCACTGTAAGCTCGGGCACACTGCTCTGGATGGCTGTGCACAGCCATCCAGAGCAGTGTGCTTACAGTGAAGCACACACCTCCCGCTCCCTAGTAAAACACTCCCAGCACGCAGTTAACCCATTGATCGCTCCTCATTGTTAACCCCTTCCTGCCCAGTGCCATTAGTACAGTGTCAGTGCTCTTCTTTTTTTTTTTTTTTGTGATCATTGTATTGGTGCCACTGGGGATGTCACTGACACCAAGTTGGTTCCTCCCAGTGGCAGAATGCTTGCTACAGTGTCGCTATAAGTCGCTGATCGCCGCCATGATTAGTAAAAAAGAAAAAACAAAAATAAATTCCAGTATCTATACTGCCATTTGTAAACGCTATATCTTTCATGTAAACCAATTAATTTATACTTACTGGGATTTTTTTTTTCGCAAAGAAATGTAGCAGAATCCACTTTGGCCTAAATTTATGATGAAATTTGATTTTTAATTTTTTTTTTTTTTTTTTTTAACTGGACATGTTTAACTGCCTCTGCGCCGCCCTATAGTAGAAAAACTGCTACAGAGCGGCATGGGTGCGCAAAATCACGTGTGTATATATACGTGATTTGTGCTCCCGTTGTTTTCGCGCCCCTCCCAGATAGCGTCACATTGCCTGTGTACACCATTAATCACATTTAACCCCTTGATTGCCAGGAACACGCTCGCATACACAATAAACCTCCATTGCTAGTATAGTGTCTGAACGGATCAATATCTTTTGATCAGATCAGCACTATACATATTAGTATAGTGTCCCCAAAAACACAGCGTTAGCTGGATCAGCCCCGCCACCTGCATTTAGCCCTTACGCTTACCACCTCACCTTTCTCCCCCAGCAAGTGCGGTGTCAGTAGGTCGCTGTCACTTGATACATTGCACACAAAACCGCGGTGTTGGCAGAATCAGGCCTGATCTCTGTTAGCACTTGCTGGTAAATTTTGATGACTCTCATATGCAGCAGAGTGCCAGTACTAGTGCCGCTTTACCTTTTGGTAAACTGGTGAGCACCAGCGACCTAGTACATCCTGGTCTTTCACATACCAGCACTGCAGTATCACTTGGTGACGTGGCGAGTCCCATAAGTGCAGTACAAGCTGCTGCGGAGGCGAGCACAAGTAGTGTCCCGCAGCCACCAAGAATTCGCACACAGGCTCGTAGAGCCCCTAGTATCCTTCCAGATGTATTTGCAAATCCCGATTGGCAGCCCACATATTCTGCAGCACCAGTACCTCCCCCATTCGCTGCCCAACCTGGAATTCTGGTGGAAACCGCAAATATAATTACTCCCCTTGATTTTTTTGAGCTGTTTTTCACGGAAGATCTGTATGCATTGATTGTGGGTCAAAGCAATTTATATGCACAACAGTTTATCGCCGCCAACCAAAATTCAAACCTTGCCAGACCATTTGCATGGAAACCCATTACGGTTTACGAATTGAAAGTTTTTTCGGGCCTAACCCTCAACATGGGCATTACTAAAAAAAATGGATCCTCTTCTGGTGACAACCCAATCTTTCACTGTTGGTAATAAGTCAGCAGGACAATGTCTGCAGTAGATCAGTGTAAAGCTAGTTATAGATGAGTCCGTTTTGGTTTAGTTCAACCAGCAGGTTCAATAAAAAAACTAACCTGGTTTTTTCCCCCATCCACACATTCGAGGTAGATGGGGAAAATACTTCCCGCTGTGTCATTTTACTCTGACAGTGAGGAGACTGCCCTGCCATCACAATACATTGATCAGTGCTGCATGCTATAGCCTGTAGTGCTGATCGTATAGAACTTTTCTAATAGGCTGGTTGAACAGAAATCGATTGGTAGATCTCCTGTCTTACCACAGTGCCCATACAAGGATCAAAATTTGGCTGGTCCCTGCTGAACTTGCCAAGTTTCGTCCCATGTATTGCCAGGTTAGTATTCATAGTTGTGTTGGCTGGTTGACTGTGCAGGCTGAAACCATATTGTGATGTCTTGTCTTGCAGGTCCCCAGTCTGAACGATGTCCCCCTGCACTACTTGAAACCAAACAGCCTGGTGCGTTTCCGCTGTATGGTACAGGACATGTTCGATCCAGAGTATTACATGGGAGTCTATGAGACCGTGAACCACAGCAACAATGCAAGGGTGAGTCACAACCACATGAAAGGGGCCATTTAATATCAGCACACCTTTCTAAGACCTAAGCTATGCTGTATCTGGGGGAACCATAGTTAAAACATTCCACCCTATAAATATAGGTTTGATCGTTCTAGTGGAAGTGGTAACATTATGTTCATTAAAGTTTTGGCCTGTTGCTGGAAATGGAACCTATCTCAAGCAAATTGGTAGCAGATACACACAATGTGACTGTGATACCACTTTGGGATGCATGTTGGGCGCTCACTGGAGAGTCTCATTCTACATTTGGCCAGTGTATGCTCATTAGAGTATGTCTATGGTGGGAAGATTTTAGATTATGTTGTTTCTCTCGCTGACTGTATTTGTTGCAATATCTCACAATACAGCCCTATGGCCTTCCTAACTAGTGCCATCTTTATTTCCAGGCTCTGCACCTTGGCAAATACCGGGATGTGGCGGATTGTACGGTGAGTTTGTGAGAGGAGGATGATGACCCCAAGAATTTGTGAGGACTATCAGTACATTTAGCTGACCCGAGGAGCTGTATACCAGAATTGTCAGTGTGTCTTGGTCACCCTGGGATTTGTATGAGAGGACTGTCAGTACATCTTGGTGACCCTAGGAATTATCAGTGAGGCTGTTATTACATCTATGTAAATAGAAAGAGAGGGGATTCTTCAGGATTATTTATATACATGCGTATTACCTTTACACTTCTGGTTGGTGCGCATTTCTATCATTTGCACTGGAGAACGGCGAGCACTATTACAGGACTGCATTTTATCCATCTATGATATAAATTCCATATTCCATGTTTGGTTTTATGTCTATATTACTGTTACGTATACTAGAGCAATATCGCACAGCGCTGCATTTTATATTTGTATATGTTATTACATCTAGGTGTCCCTGGGAATTGTGTGAGGACTAGCCTTACATAATTCCCTAGGGTTACTGGTGTGTACTGACTGTCAATACATATAGTTGATTGTATGAGAGGACTGCCTGTATATCTACTGTAGGTGACTGTGGGAATTATCTGTGAAGACTTACATCTTTTTAAGCTGAATTCTTGGAACTTAGCCACTTTGTAAAAAGTGCAGGCACACTGTTAAAAAAGAGGGGATGTGAAAAGGGATTCACAGAAAAAGCTGTTACATTATGGACAGAAAGCTATACTCCAAGTTACTAAAAAAATGATGCTTTATTACACAATGCATGTATGGACATTTCAGGTAAATACCTCAGTTAGCCATCACCTCAAGATGAGACAATACATCAAAGTATGACCTAAAATCAATTAAAAACAAACGTCATAACCGGCCTGAATAGTAGGGTGCTGTAAATAGTGACACATGGTCTAATATATATGCAGCACTGACACAATGGTTACACCACCATGTAGTGGATGTTTCAAAAAAAATTATACCAAATGGCTGAGTATAAAAATAGTATTAATGCTGATCATAGGTACCAATGACAATGGATTTGATAGCCTAAACAATTGTTATTGGGCTATTTACTGGGCTATCGAATCCATTGTCATTGGTACTTATGATCAGCATTAATACTCTATTTTTATGCTCAGTCATTTGGTATAATTGTTTGAAACATCCACTACATGGTGGTGTAACCATTGTGTCAGTGCTGCATATATATACAGTCATGGCCGAAATTGTTGGCACCCTTGATATTTTTCCTGAAAATCAAGTATTTCACACAAAAAAGGTATTGCATTAACACATGTTTTGCTATACACATGTTTATTCCCTTTGTAATGTATTGGAACAAATATAAAACAGAGGCAGAAAAGCAAATATGACATAATGTCACACAAAACCCCAAAAATGGGCTGGACAAAAGTATTGGCACCCTTAACTTAATATTTGGTTGCACACCCTTTGGAAAAACATAACTGAAATCAGTCGCTTCCTATAACCATCAATAAGCTTCTGACACCTCTCACCCGGAATTTTGGACCACTCTTCCTTTGCAAACAGCTCCAGGTCTCTCTTATTGGAAGGACACCTTTTCCCAACAGCAATTTTAAGATCTCTCCACAGGTGTTCAATGGGATTTAGATCTGGGCTCATTGCTGGCCACTTCAGAACTCTCCAGCGCTTCTTTGCCATCCATTTCTGAGTGCTTTTTGACGTATGTTTGGGGTCATTGTCCTGCTGGAAAGACCCAGGATCTTGGACGCAAACCCAGCTTTCTGACACTGGGCCCTACAGTGCGACCCAAAAATCCTTTGGTAATCCTCAGATTTCATGATGCCTTGCACACAGTCAAGGCACCCAGTGCCAGAGGCAGCAAAACAACCCCAAAACATCATTGAACCTCCACCATATTTTACCGTAGGAACTGTGTTTTTTGTTCTTTGTAGGCCATTCATTCCGTTTTCGGTAAACAGTAGAATGATGTGCTTTACCGAAAAGCTCTATCTTGGTCTCATCTGTCCACAAGACGTTTTCCCCAGAAGGCTTTTTGGCTTACTCAAGTACATTTTGGCAAACTGTAGTCTTGCTTTTTTATGTCTCTGTGTCAGCAGTGGGGTCCTTCTGGGTCTCCTGCCATAGCGTTTCATTTCATTTAAATGTCGACGGATAGTTCGCGCTGACACTGATGCTCCCTGAGCCTGCAGGACAGCTTGAATGTCTTTGGAACATGTTTGGGGCTGCTTATCCACCATCCGGACTATTCTGCGTTGCAATCTTTCATCAATTTTTCCTCATCCGTCCACGACCAGGGAGATTAGCTACAGTGCCATGGGTTGCAAACTTCTTGATAATGTTGCGCACTGTGGACAAAGGCAAATCTAGTTCTCTGGAGATGGACTTGTAACCTTGAGATTGTTGATATTTGCCACAATTTTGGTTCTCTCAGGTCCTCAGACAGTTCTCGTCTCCTCTTTCTGTTGTCCATGCTTTGTGTGGCACAGACAGACACACAATGCAAAGGTTAAGTGAACGTCTCTCCTTTTTATCTGCTTTCAGGTGTGATTTCTATATTGCCCACACCTGTTACTTGCCCCAGGTGAGTTTTACAGGAGCATCACATGCTTGTAACATTCTTATTTATCCGCAGTTGTGAAAGGGTGCCAATACTTTTGTCCAGCCCATTTTTGGAGGTTTGTGTGACATTATGTCGAATTTGCTTTCTTTTAATACACACAAAGGGAATAAACATGTGTATAGCAAAAACATGTGTTAATGCAATACGTTTTCGTGAGAAATACATGATTTCCTGGAGAAATATCAAGGTTGTGCCAACAATTTCGGCCATGACTGTATTAGACCATGTGACACTATATTTACAGCACCCTACTATTCAGCCCGGTTATTATGACTTTGTTTTTAATTGATTTTAGGTCATACTTTGATGTATTGTCTCATCTTGAGGTGATGACTAACAGGTATTTACCTGAAATGTCCATACTTGCATTGTGTAATAAAGCATCATTTTTTGAGTAACTTTGAGTATCGCTTTCTGTCCATAATGTAACCGCTTTTTCTGTGAATCCCTTTTTTACATCCCCTCTTTTTTAATGTTTTGGTTACTGGTCAGATACTGCACATTCAGCGATACGTCCAATTTATGAGCCTCTTACTCCCTAATTTTAACACTGTTAATCCCAGCAAGGTCCATGCTTCCAGAGGAGACACCGGGACTGTGAGAGGAAAGAAGCAAAAACAGCAGCTATGCCCGCCCCACCCCTCCTCTCTGATGCCCGTTCACACAAACCTTTGTGTTTTGTGAATATGTTCACATAATACAAAGGCTTCCTGTGATTGGGCAGGAGAAGAGAAGCAGTTGCATAGACTCTGCTGTTGATGCTGAGACCAGATGGACCAGGGATAGGCGACTTCTTAGAGTTTTATCAACCTATTGTAAACAATAGAGAGGTCCAGGAGGTGATATATATATCTTGTTAGACTTAACTCATTGTATGCCTTCACTTTTTACAAAGGAGCTGCATTCCTGGAGTTCTCTTCTGATTTGGATTTTAGAAGAGTTTTTTGTGTAGATCTTTGTTCTGTATTTAGTTATTGTCATTGTGTTGCAGCCACAGCAGGAGGTGGACATAAACTCCTCCCGGACAGTCGCTGCAGAACGGCAGACCTTCTACTGTGTGCCAGTTCCAGGAGAGTCTTCCTGGGTAAAAGAGATATCCTTTGCTAGTGCCTCACTGCCCTCTATCTTCAGAGATGTCAGCTATCCCCCCCCCCCCCAGCTTATGTCTCATAATAGTGGTCACAGTGTATACCCTGATGTATATAAAACAATGAACTGATCCGATTTTTGCATTATTGGTGTTCAGTGGATTATACACGACTTTTATTAGATGATAAATGCAGCCGGAAAGGTTGTCTGCTCAGAGATTATAGTTGTGTTTTAATGTTCCTTATCAAGTTCACATCTACAGCAGCTCCAGCCAGGTCCAGCCAGTTTCCCCCTCCACTTCCTATGTCCCCAACCGCCACAAACGCAGCTACGATGATGATGATGAACACACTGCTACCCCCATATTAGATGATAAATGCAGCCGGAAAGGTTGTCTGCCCAGAGATTATAGTTGTGTTTTAATGTTCCTTATCAAGTTCACATCTACAGCAGCTCCAGCCAGGTCCAGCCAGTTTCCCCCTCCACTTCCTATGTCCCCAACCGCCACAAACGCAGCTACGATGATGATGATGAACACACTGCTACCCCCAGAGAACAGCACACAGGTAATGCCTCCCCCAAGTAATGTCTCCATTGTCACTCTTACAACATTCTCCCTCTGACCATCACTGTACTTCCTTTTGACTTTACATATTCAGTATGACTGTATGCAGTGTGTGGCTATGCCGGACTTCTCTTCTGGCAGAAGCCTAAATTGTGTCTGTGGGTCAGTGATGGCTGTATGAGGATAATATTCTGGAGGATGAGGTGCAATTTTCTCTCCTGATCTGACCTTGTGTGTATTTCACCTTAGATGTGAGTGGGCTGAATATTCCAAAAAGGCAGGAGATGGAGTCACAGAAGAAGCTGCAGGAAATTGCTCCAGTCAGCAGCTCTCCTTTGAACCTCAATTTCCCTCTCCCTGATGAGAAGGGACCAGCATGTCTAGTAAAGGTAAATGGAAGACTGTCATTAGAGGGTAACATGACCTGCTAGGCCCATAGAGTGCCGGAAGGGTTGTTCAAGCTTGTTTCCATCAGCTCCTGCAGCAGATCTGTATTGGTGTCAATATGCAATAGAGTGAAGGGCATGTTTTCAGTGTCTACCACTGCAGGAACACCATCATGTAGAACAGACTAAGATCTAACTTGCATCCTAAGAGTTTACAGCTGAGTGGTGTATTGGGGTTATTGGTCTTCCCACCAGCAGGGTCCACACTGTGCAAGTCCAGAGGAGGTCACAGTGGTGATAGACTAGACCAAGGATCTCCAAACTATGGCCTTCCAGCTGTTGAAGTACTACAAATTCCATCATGCCTCTGGGAGTCTTGCCTGTGACTGTCAGTCTTGCAAGGCCTCATGGGACTTGCAGTTCCTCAACACCTGGAGGTCCATAGATTGGAGACCCCTGGAATGGCTGCCTCTGGTGGAGAAGAACAGATTGGTGATCTTCCCAACTGCTGGGCCTAATGGGATCAATAGATACCATTGCTGTACTGTTAGCTGTCATGGTGCTGCACTGTATCTGGTCTGTTGCATCAGTGCAGGAAGTGCTTGTCCCTGGATCACCAATTTTATCTCTTAACAGGTGTATGAGAACTGGGACAGTTTCAAAGTGAATGATGTTCTGGAGGTGTATGGTGTGTTATTGGTGGAGCCAACCCTAAGTACTATAAATGAGGACAGGTAAGAATGGTACTGATCCCATATCATATGAGCTATTTCCTGGTGGCACACCCATGTGATCTCTTTCTAGTTATGTTACATAGTTACAAAGTTAGGTTGAAAAAGGACTATCCAGTTCTACCAAGAAATGTATACTAAAAAAACGAACTACTAAATATATTGAAAACCAGCATGTAAAGAATCCTAAACCAATAGTTGATCCAGAGGATGACCAAAACACCCATTGTCAAGCATGGTCAAATTTACTCAAACAGGGAAAAAAATTCTTCCCGATTCCCTAAGGAAATCGTATATGTTCCTTGAATCAACGATCTCTTATATTATTACTTTTCAATATCAATAGCCAGTTGTATTCTGTGCATTAATAAATGATCACCTAAGCTAGATAGAACTAGCTCCTGAGGTCTAGGATTGTCAGCTTGTACTTGGGATTTCTAGTGTTGTATTGTCAGCTCTTTCCTGGGTTTTCCCACAGGCTGACGAGGTCTGGTATTTGTAGTATCAGCTCATACTTGGGTTGTCAAGTATTGCCTGCTTGGCACTGGGTTAGCTAGCTAGTCTTGAGTTTTTTCAAATGGGTTGAGAACGTCTACTATTGTGATGTCAACCCATCTCTGAGTTGTCTTATGGCTCAGTAGTTCTAGTACTGTATTGGCAGCTCACCTCTGAACTGATTAGTGCCATCCAGTGAAGACTGGCAGGCAGAGAATGAGATTTCGTTGTATTGGCAGAGATTCGCTCAGTGCGTGTTTGGACCCTGCAGACAGTATGGACACTCTGGAGGAACAGCGAGTACACAGTCCTCCCACTTCTCTTGTGCCGCGAATCCACGCCATCATTGTACAGAAAATGCATCATATTAACCCGCTAATCCCAAACTCTGTCTGCGAGTCTGATGAAAGTAAACAATGTAAGTCTTCAGTGTGCGGGGGGGGGGTCACATGATTCATTTCACTGCCCTTCATTGTCGTCTCTGTCCCACACAGGTCTGGCCAGTTTCATGGCAGAGCTGTCCTCTGTGCGATCAGAGCTTTTAGGCTTTTTGACACACGCTATGCTGGGGGACAGCCTCGCTGCTGAATATCTCATCTTCCACCTCATCTCCACAGTGTGAGTATTGTGTGTGTTGTGTCAATGTCTGCGCAGTATGACTGTGGCAGAGTTGTGGTTGGCTGCTTGTTTTTGGTTTGTTTTTACTTCTCCAATGCTCACCACCTGGGCTTAACTTTTATTCTGTTGTTTGACTTGCTTTATGCACACTCCTGACATCACACCCAGGACACCTTTGACCTTTGGAGACACCTAATCTGACCATAATTCCTTTGTGTCAGGTATGCTCGCAGGGATGTGCTGCCGCTGGGGAAGTTTTCTCTGAATCTCAGTGGTTGCCCACGGAATGGCATCTTCACACAACAGTTGTATCGTGTGGTGCAGCAGCTGGTGCCCGCAGTAAGATGGTGGCTTTCTATTTTAGATATATTGATGTGATAATGTCAGCTGCTTACTGAAATCTGTGGGGTTTTTTTTTTTTTGTGTCTTGCAGTCCTATTATCTCCCGATGACCATTGAAAACATGAACAGCTTACGCTTTATCCCCCAGAAGGATTACACTGCCAACCGTCTGCTAAGTGGCATCCTGCAGCTGTCCTCTAACACATCACTATTGGTGGATGAAACGTTGCTGGAGCAAGGTCAGCTGGACACCACAGGTCAGTGTAGTGTAGGATTGCTGTAGCCATAGATCCTCTCATTGACTGTCATTCTTTACATCTGTCATCTTGTATCTGCATTATCCCAGCATTGTTTTTATACTCTATACAGGCAGGAGACAAAATGAGAATCCTTTTACGTTTTGAACCCTGCACACTGCTGACTGAGCAAAGAATGCCATTACTTATTTTTTAATTGTATAGGATGCAGAAGGCTTCATATACATGACAACTTTAGGTGAAGCTATATTGGCCAAAAAAAAAAAAAAAAAGCAGGAATTCCAGTCCAGACATAACTTCTTACAGGCCAGCTAAGCCTCAGTTTTTTCGCTAGCGTCCTTCGCTGATTTCCTGGCCCATTCCTAGTAACCTTATTGAGGTAAGGAGGGCTTCATCTGAATGGGTCCCTGTAGCCAGCAGGACGAAAAGGGACTGTGCCCAGACCCTGCATGCAAGAGCGGGGATGGCCTGTAATGCTGCCAGTTGGCACTGAATCTTGTGGGCAGTGATCTGGTGTACTAGATGTGCTCTACAGGTCCACAGCAATGATCCCCCCCAGAGGGGTTATGGAGTCCCTGACGACCCTGCGTGGCACATGCACTTTGCTGAAGATTGGCCCTGCACGGAGGACTGGTGATTGCCTCTGGGCTAGGCGCAGCCCATGGCAGTCTCTCCCTTTAGTCTTCCTGGTGCATTGGCATTGTTTTATCACAGGCTGAGTGCTACACCCCTGTAGTGGTGTTCAAAAGGTGCAGCCCAGTGCACACAAGATGAATTGATCACGTGCAGATTCAGTTTTTACCAGTTCCCTGGGCACACCAACATGCGTTCTGCAGTTACTACAGCTTGGTACAGCTAATGGCTCAGCTACTCCGCCACAGTTCTTGCATGGCTCAGTGGCTTTCACACAGGGCGCAGCAAGTATCCTTAGACACTTATTCCTATGGGTTGGGCGGATGCTTCTCTTGGGTATAACAGGCTTGCAGACCCTCAACGAGCTATGTCCTCACCAGCAGCTAGTTGGGGGATGGGGATAGACAATGGGGTGGGCTCCCAAATTCCTCTATCAGGTATGAAGGAAGACCCCCTCCACAGGTTGCCCTACAAGGCTTTCTGAGGGTCAGATTGACTTTGAATCACTGACTTTATCTGATATTTCTACTCTCAGGTACACTATCTTCCAATTCCTTTGTGTCAAGTAGTTATTAATTTGCGTGATCAGCTCTCAGGCGTTCTCACTGGCTTGAAGCAACTGGGAACGCCAACATGGGTGCTCTCCTTCCTCCTCCTCCACTTTTTCAGGAGGATGAGGTATAGGAAGAGCATCCTGAAGATGAGGAAGCTGTCAAGGTTTAGGCATACTCAGTCGGTGATGTGCAATTCTTATCGCCCGATGCCTGGGACATGTAGTTCCAGGCGTGGGCAGGTAGTTGTTTTTGCTTATAGCTCTGCTGCGTACAAGCTTCCACACAGCCCAAAGTGCTGGCCGCTGTCTTTTAGACGTAGGATATAGACTTTAGGAGTCTTTTAGACCCCGGATGTCTCAAAAAGGAACCTTTCACCAAAAATCATCACATAGGGGACTTTGTCCCCGCCGGTGAGTACTCGCTGGCGCCCGGAGATTGCCGAGCATCACCGACGGGGAGGAAAACTGTTTGTAAACAGTTCTCTCTGTCAGCTCGTGCACACTTCTTTGGATGGCTGTGCAGAGCCATGCAAAGCAGTGTGCTTACAGTGAAGCACACGGACACAGCACATAGTGAAACAGTACACAGTCAATCCTTTGATTGCCCCTTTTGTTAACTTCTTCCTGTCCAGTGCCATTAGTACAGTGTCAGAATGCCCACCACTGCAGTCCCGCTAAAAGTTGCCGATCACCACCATTACTAGTAAAAAATAAATCCCAGTGTATATACCGCCAATTGTAAAACACTATAGCTTTCACGTAAACCAATTTAATTTGCATGTATTGGGATATTTTTAGCAAAGACATGTAGCAGAATACATTTTGGCCTAAATTTATGATGAAACTTTTATTTATTTATTTTTTTTACTGGACATGCTTAATAGCAAAAAGTCAAAAATACTGTTTTTCTCAAAATTGTCGGCCTTTTTTTTTTTTTTTTTTTTTTTTGTTTTAGCACAAAAAATAAACACAGGCGATCAAATGCCACCAAAAGAAAGCTCAATTAATGAGAAAAAAAGGACGCAAATTTAATTTGGGTGCAGCATTGCATGACCGCACAATTGTCAGTTAAAATAATTCAGCGCCGTAATGCAAAAAATGGCCTGGTCAGGAAGGCGGGGGGTAAATCCTCTGGAGGGCAAGTGGGTAAAGCCTTTTATGCAAGGTGTCATACAGATTGGTCCGCCTGTTATTTCCCCTTCCCCCATCTGTGGGATGTTAAAGTGGTTGTAAACCCTTACATATACCCATTGAAGTGAGAATCCTTCCAAACTCTTCCACTCGATTGAATGAAACCACCTCCTCCATTCATAGCCAATATCTCAGAAGCACCCAGATAGGTATTCATAGTGCAGCAAGCTTTTTATAAAAGTGTTAAGTATGTTGGCCTTGTTGTTGTGTTGCCCATGCCTCATGTTTGGTGTTTTGGAATATCCCAAGTAGTGAGACGTCCTTTGTGTCCTGTGATGTAGGATTAAGAAATATTTTTGATTTCCTTGTAAAATCGTTTTGTTGGAGTACATCAAAGGACACAGACCTTGCTCCTGTTGCTTTCTTCGAAACTGAGGCTTAGTGGAGATTTGAGGGGTTATGCGGTTTGTTTGTTTTTTTTTTGTTTTTGGCTAGTGTCCATTCACCTGCCAGCAAAACCCAAGTAGTCCATCAATATGAAGTTTACAGAACTGGGTGTCAGACAGTCGGGCAATTCTATATGTAAACCTAACCATGTACTTCTAAAATTTTCACTTTTTGTTTGATAAATTTACCAGTGAAAATGTTTCAATGCCTGAGAGAGAGACCACACCCCAATGATGTCAGGGCTTTGATGCAACGTTATTGAAAATAAGCATTGCATACTGTAACCCCACCTGAGATTCCCTGCTGACATGTTTCACCCTCCCGCTGGACATGTTGAACTGTATTTTTTTTTTTTTTTTGCAGAGTAATTGTTTTAGGGTGGGGGGTTGTGGTGCGTGTGTGTTGTTGTTGTGTTTTTTTTTTTTTGGTTTTTGTTTTGTTTTTTCCTTTTCCAGTCTCCTTAGTGTCTTGCTGCCTGTAGGTTGTGTGCCAGGGGTGTTTTTTGTATTTGTTTTCATTCTTCTTTTTATAGGTAAAGTTTGTGCTTTTTATTACTGTATTGTTTGGAGTTGTATCCTCTGCATGTCCTGTTATTTTGCATTCTGTTTGTCTCAGGATGTCCTCCTCTTGTACTTTCCTCCTGTAGTCTGATTTTCTCATTTAGTCTGTTTTGGGTTTCCCTATTCTTCTGACTGTCTGGTTTGTCTTTCAGTTGCTGACATTTTCTCTGGTCTCGTGTCATTTTTGTTTTGTCTGTTCTTTACAGGTGTCCGTAATGTCACTGCGCTGGGTAATGTGATCACCTGGCAGAAAGTGGACTACGATTTTAGTTACCACCAGATGGAATTCCCCTGTAATATTAATGTGCTCGTCACCTCAGAGGGCCGATCGCTGCTTTCAGTAAGTCTCCTCTAACTTTTATTTCTCTCTTCAGGGATTTGGGTAACATGGCAGGTCACTTTTTACTAGCTGGCATTTATACTGACAGCACTGCTAGTGAAATTCAAAGTATAGGCCACACTGGGCAGCTGCTTCAACCAGTCAGAAAGCAGCCAGAGGAGTTACACGCACATGAACTTTAATGACATCCCAGTCTTAGTCCGTAGGGTTCAATATTGAGTTGGCCCCGCCCTTTGCAGCTATAACGCTTCAACTCTTCTGGGAAGGCTGTCCACAAGGTTTAGGAGTGTGTCTATGGGAATGTTTGACCATTCTTCCAGAAGCACATTTGTGAGGTTAGGCGCTGATGTTGGACGAGAAGGCCTGGCTCACAGTCTCCGCTCTAATTCATCCCAAAGGTGTTCTATCAGGTTGAGGTCAGGACTCTGTGCAGGCAGTCAAGTTCCTCCACCCCAAACTCGCTCATCCAAATCCTTATGGACCTTGCTTTGTGCACTGGTGTGCAGTCATTTTGGAACAGGAAGGGGCATCCCCAAACTGTTCCCACAAAGTTGGAAGCATGAAATTGTCCAAAATGTCTTGGTGTGCAGACACCTTAAAAGTTAAAAGTTCACCTTTTTGTCAAAAATAATAGATTTCACGTTTTTTTGCAGTTAAAAAAATTAGCATTTTATAGTTTTTGTCTGCAGGAGCCTGGAAAGCATTGCATCAGCGGTCAGTAGATCGCTGATGCCATGCAGGTCTCATGCAGGCCTGTGAGAATATCTGTTTGGCGTACGAGATGTATGATCAAACAGATATTCTTACAGGAAGCTTCAATGAACTACCACGGCGCTCCGCAGCGCCGTGTTCATTAAAGACTACAAGCTGACAGCCACTAAGGCTGCCGGGACTTGTAGGCACTCATTCACAGAACTCTGAGTGAGTGACGCGGCCAAGTGAGCGGAGCCCTGCGCAGCTGCGCTGTTTTCAAATCTGACAGTATGGGGAGAAAAGTTTCCTTGTACGATATGTCAGGGAGGTGGGGTGGTGGGCGTGGCTACAGCTATGGGAACATGGTCCCCAAAGTGAACTGACCCTTCACTGGAACTAGGGGGCCAAGCCCAACCCCTGAAAAACAACCCCACAGCATAATCCCTCCTCCACCAAACTTTACACTTGGCGCAGTGCAGTCAGGCAAGTACCGTTCCCCTGGCAACCACCAAACCCAGACATGTCCGTCGGATTTCCAGAGACAGAAGCATGATTCATCTCTCCAGAGTAGCCTTTTTCAACCAGGGTGCCTTCTCGGTTCATCAGGGGGTACCTTGGCAAAATGCCAAAAAATTGCTCCAAAAATTGTGTACAAGCCAGGGATAGATTAAGCTTGCTATTTGTTACACAAAGACACAGGTTTTCATTGTGCACAATTACAACATTGGGTACTGGACAGGCCAGTCGCCAGCATCCTAACAATCATTGACATCAATGGTTGACAAAGAGAACATGGGACAGCTGCACAGCATCCTTGCTTGACTCCCAGGCCCCTCTCTGTCAGCATTAGAGTTGTGTTAGCTGCATGGAGGAGAGAAAATGAGAGGGAAGAAATGCTGGAATACTTGTCATTACCACTGCACAAAAGTGTATTTACTTTGAAAGAATGGATCACTTCTAATGTCAAGTATCTTGCGTGTGTTGATGCTGCTGCAAACTATTGGATGTCGTCTTACATTTTCGAAGGGGGTGCCTTGATCATCCATAATTTTAAAGGGTGCCTTGACTGGAAGAGGGTTGAGAAACACTGCTTCAGAGAACACGTCTCCACTAGAGTCCAGTGGCGGTGTGCTTTACACCACGGCATCCGACGCTTTGCATTGCACTTGGTGATGTAAGGCTTGGATGCAGCTGCTCGGCCATGGAAACCCATTCCATGAAGCTCTCTATGCACTGTTGTTGTGATAATCTGAAGGCCACATAAAGTTTGGAGGTCTTTAGCTATTGACTCTGCAGACGGCCGGCGACTTCTGCACACTGTGTGCTTCAACATGTGCTGACCCCGCTCTGTCATTTTACATGGCCTACCACTTCGTGGCTGAGTTACTGTTCCCAGTTGCTTCCACTTTGTTATAAAACCACTAACAGTTGACTGGAATATTTAGTAGCCAGGAAATGTCACAGATGGACTTATTGCACAGATGACAACCTATCACGGTACCACGCTTGGAGTCACTGAGCTCCTGAGAGCGACCCATTCTTTCACAAATGTTTGTAGAAGCAGCCTGCATGCCTAGGGGCTTGATTATTATACACCTGTGGCCATGGAGGTGATTGGAACACCTGAATCCAATGATTTGGAGGGCGGGGCCAATACTTTTGGCAATATAGTGTATTTGTCTTCACTTGCTATCCTTACAGAGAGCAGTGTGTTTGCAGATAATGAAATATACAATTCCTAATGCTCCACTGTGTGGTTTTTCACTGTGCCACATTGCTAACTAATTAGGACAGGGAATGGGTCAATAATGGAGTGAACATATTTTTTTTTTTATCTTTCCTTTCTTCCCAACTTTAAACTCTTCATGCCAATGGAGCCCATTATACATGTGTAAGGCACATTGATTGTTTGGCTTTATAAATATATATGCAAAGTGTGGGGGGGGGGGGGGGGGTTTACATAGACCATTAAGTGTGTAAATGAAGAGTTCACAGGTCGGTGTCACTTTGCTGTATAAGGCAATCGCCACGTTTATCCTGGAAATCAAAATCTATAATTTGCATTTTGAAAAAAAAAAAACCTTTTTATTATAACCACAATTCCAAAAAATTTTTGGTCTTGTGTACAGAGATTTCTCCAGATTCTTGTAATCTTTTGCTATTAATGTACTGTAAATGGTAATGTAATTGAAATCTTTGCAATTTATGTTGAGCAATATTATTCTGAAATTGTCTGACCATTTATTAGATTCAGCTTTTCACAGCTTGGATATCTTTTCTTTGCTTTTAAAAGTCGAACCTTTTTTCTGTTAGCTATTTTTTCTTCTTTTCTTTTTTTTTTTTCTTTTTTCTTTTACAAGCTGCTAATCTGGCCTCTATACGCAGCTGTCCAGATCAGCAGATCCACAGCCTTTGATTTGGAGGTTGTACCTGGACCCTGCTAGACTGGAGTAGTGCGGAGATGGTCTGAAATGTGACCTTTTGGGTTCACTGTGGCGATTTACTGACCAGTGTGCACTGATGGCTCAGGGTGCTTTCCAGAACTTTGGGTGTGACCGTCTAAATATTTACATTTGTAAGAAGGCCGTGCAGGCTGAGTTCCAGGAGCTTCTTGATAATAGAGCAATTGGACATATCCTGTATTAACTCTAATCTGAGCCCAGAACACTGTCAGTTTGAGAAGCCCATTCAGGTCTCATAATTCTTTATTACATTTTGCATTTTTGATCACTTTTCTGTTTTTTTTGTATTTTTCTTCTCAGCCAGACTGTCAAGTTCACTTGAAGCCGCAGCTGATGCCCCCCAATATAGAACAGTATATGGGGGCTTTGCTGTCTACCGTCCAACCATCCTTGCTCAACAAGTTCCGTATCTACCTAAGTCTTCTACGGCTGATGGACTACAGCATTTCTGAGGATGTTACCAAGGTACGAGAGTGAGCACAGCAGGAATAGGGACCTTTGAGGTAACCTATGAAGACAGAAATGTGAGTGGAACTGTTGTCAAGCTCCTAGATCAGGGCTAGACATGATGGTTACACTGCCAAGATGTAGGCTTCAGGGCTGCCATCCTGGTTAGGCTTTACTACCTGGGGTATCATGAACCTAAAACAAAGATGCAATATTGGAGTTCAGACTTCATTAGCTCAATACTTTTTGCAAGTAATTGACTTATACCAGGAGTCACAAAGCCTGTAAGCATGTGCAAGCAGGGCCAGCATTCCTATTTGTATACTGATAGGGTCTCTTGAGGTGTGTGTGTGTGTCTCGCGCTCTCTCTATATCTATCTATATCTATATCTATATTTTTATATATAAAATATCTATATATATCTATATATATCTATATCTATATCATATCTATATCTATCTATATCTTATCTATATCTATCTATATCTATTTATATCTATCTATATCTTCTATATCTATATATATTTTTATATCTATCTATAATATCTATCTATCTATCTATATCTATCTATCTATTATCTATCCATATATCTATTATATTATCTATCTATATCTATCTATCTATATCTATCTATCTATATCTATCTATCTATATCTATCTATCTATATCTATCATCTATCTATATCTATCTATCATCTATATTTTTATATCTTTCTATCTTATCTTTTCCTCTATCATCTCTTATATCTTATTTCTCTTCTCTTTCTTCACTATCTATCTCTATCTATCTCTATCTATCTTCTCTATCTCTATCTCTATCTCTATCTATCTCTATCTATCTCTCTCTATCTCTATCTAAATCTATCTATCTCTATCTATCTTATCTATCTTTATCTATCTCTATCTATCTTATCTATCTCTATCTATCTCTATCTATCTCTATCTATCTCTATCTATCTCTATCTATCTCTATCTATCTCTATCTATCTCTATCTATCTCTATCTATCTCTATCTATCTCTATCTATCTCTATCTATCTCTATCTATCTCTATCTATCTCTATCTATCTCTATCTATCTCTATCTATCTCTATCTATCTCTATCTATCTCTATCTATCTCTATCTATCTCTATCTATCTATCTATCTTTCTATCTCTATCTATCTCTATCTATCTATCTATCTATCTAATATCTATATCTATCTCTATCTATCTCTATCTATCTCTCTCTATCTATCTCTATCTATCTCTATCTATCTCTATCTATCTCTCTCTATCTATCTCTATCTATCTCTATCTATCTCTATCTATCTCTATCTATCTCTATCTATCTCTATCTATCTCTATCTATCTCTATCTATCTCTATCTATCTCTATATCTATCTCTATCTATCTCTATCTATCTCTATCTATCTCTATCTATCTCTATCTATCTCTATCTATCTCTATCTATCTATCTATCTATCTATATCTATCTCTATCTAATCTATCTCTATCTATCTCTATCTATCTCTATCTATCTCTATCTATCTCTATCTATCTCTATCTATCTCTATCTATCTCTATCTATCTCTATCTATCTCTATCTCTATCTCTATCTATCTCTATCTATCTCTATCTATCTCTATCTATCTCTATCTATCTCTATCTATCTCTATCTATCTCTATCTATCTCTATCTATCTCTATCTATCTCTATCTATCTCTATCTATCTCTATCTATCTCTATCTATCTCTATCTATCTCTATCTATCTCTATCTATCTCTATCTATCTCTATCTATCTCTATCTATCTATCTATCTCTATCTCTATCTATCTCTATCTATCTCTATCTATCTCTATCTATCTCTATCTATCTCTATCTATCTCTATCTATCTCTATCTATCTCTATCTATCTCTATCTATCTCTATCTATCTTCTATCTATCTCTATCTATCATAAAACAGAATGTCAGTTTCACTGGAGGATGTGTTATTGATGGAGCTGTTTTGTCCCAGGATGTATTCAGGCCTGGCGGTTTTTGATTTAATAGCTTTATGGATCTGTTCCTCTCGATAATAAAACTGTTTTTATATTTAGTCTGTCGAAGATGATTTTGTGGACATGAGGAAGGACGATCCACAAAGTATGAGTGCCGATGACCTGCACAGATTGCTGCTTGTGGCTCGGTAAGTGTGCTCAATTGCCTCATCTTCCAACATTGTTTGATAGAAAGTGTCACATCCCATCAGCCTCCGTTATGCAAAAAAGATGAGATGTGTAGGACCAGCCTGGACATGAAATGTGTGGATGGTGCAGACTATTGGTTCTTACAGTCATTGTGATAAGTCTTCATAGTATGTGATTTATATCCCATCCTGGATCCAGAGATGTGGGGATAAGGGGATCATTGGTGGCATCAATTATGCCATCATACAGCACCTCCTTGGGAGGGGGGGGCAGTTGCATATCTTTGTCACATGGTATTTTCTAAGCAGGTGGTTGTTTGTTTTTTTTCCCCAAATTCAAAATGTTTGTAAAAATACAATTTTAATAAGTTTTATTGCACAAAATCATGATATAATACCCTTTTGTTTGGCTAAATGTAAATTATGACATTGTTGAGTACATATATACCAGACATGTCAAGCTTTAAAATTGCATATACCTGTGGAACAGCACCAAACTATGGTACCTAAAGCGTTGCCTATGATGATGATTTTTTTTTTAGTAGCCTTTACAGTTTACCAGTTTAAAGTTAGAGGAGGTCTGCGCTAGAATTACTCTTGCTCTGATGATCACAGCGATGCCTCATGTGGTGCAATCACCTTTGCATTCAAGCATGGTGGGATGGGGTTTATTTAAAAGAAAACATTTTTGTTTTTTACACTGTAGCTTTGTTTTTGGTTTTTTTTGGGTTTTTTTTATTTGTTTTTCTTTTGGTCCATTGTCATTGCTATTACAAGGAATGTAAACATCTCTTGTGATAACAAGCATGATGGGTCCTCTTTTTGGAGAGATCTGGGGTCTGATAGACCCCCATAGCTCTATTCCTGGACTGCAAAGAATCAGATCACACCAAAAAATAGTATGTATTTGAGCCCAAAACTAAAAGTGATAAAATCCTTGTTTCTGCCATCACACAGTGGAAGGAACGATATCTGTTCCGCCAACTGTCTCTCAGGAATAGGTTGTCCCCAGACACATCCTTACTGGGCTCTCCTATCACACGGGAGAGCCCGGTAAAGACATTGACGGGAGGGAGGGTGTCCCCTTCCGCTGCCTGTAATTTTAATTCAGTGGCCCTTTACATGCTTGGATTACTTTTGCAAGATATAGGATCACTGGCTCTAAAAACCTTTTTTGGTCTTGCTGAAGGAAAAATGGTGCCGAGGCCCAGAACTTGCTGTAGAGATAACAGAGATATCAACCTTTCAAATCCAAGGATGTTTTGGGTATGTCCTTTGGACGGGAAGTAGTTAATAAATGTGTTGGTTTCCATACACATCTCTGCCTTAGCTGAGATCAATTACATTGTGTCACTGTGAGACCTGTTTCTACCTTATGGGTTACAGGATATTGGCCTTCTCTTTATCAGAATTCTCCGAATGTACTGTATGTTCAGTTATGTATTGTGAGTTGGGTGTTATGGTATTTTTATTGTCCTCTCTCCAGGTTGCTTTCACTCAGTTCTGGCCACAGATCTCTTTCCCGGGAAAGGTGGCACAAAGCCAAACAGCTGGAGTCTCAAAGGAGAAGTCGTCTCCAAGAACAGAAACATTTCAGCGGCAATGAACTTTAATTTCCATCTTATTGCTATGTTACAGTCCAAGAATGGTGGACCAGGTGCTGCTGTCCACCAGGCGGTGCCTTTGTCTCCATACATTTTTACAGAAGTGTCCTTATCGGCTTGCTTTTTCATAGATGATATTTTTGATATTAAAACTTCTAAAGTGTTTGTCTTTCTTTTCATTAGAACCCCTAACTTCCCATACCTGCAAGACTTGCCTGGAACTCTGGGCAAAATAAAAAAAATGCACATATCAATTTGTCATTAGCATTAACCTAGCAGTTGAGTTTTTTTGTTAGGCCCATGTAACAGTTTTATTGCCTGAAGATTGTGCTTGGAGATCTAATATTTGTTTATTGTTCATTGAGGGACATGGGAATTCAGTGATGTTGGGTTAAACTGCCACCTAAAGGAAGGTTTACATACTGGCAAACAGTGGTGGTCTGATATAGTCCCTGCTACTCCCATCATTCCCTTAGTTTTTTTGCTTGTCACCTAGGAGGATGGACCCCCCCCCCCCCCCCAATTCCCCCCCAATCCTAATCATGAGAGAGAAATATATAATATAAAATGTATTTATTTACACTTAGAGAAACTCACCACTTTTATTGATCTAGTGTATATCACTTTAAACTTTGAGCATTTATCTTTGCTGGTTTCTTTTTTAAGAGGTCCTGTGACCCTTCCAACTTTTTTCCCTCCTTTTTTTTTTTTCCTTCTTCCTCTTCAAATTAGGACTGGGAGATGTCTGATAAGCTCCCTGTGGATGATGTGTCTGTGTTTTAAGGATTCCATTGATTAAATTATTGGAAATTCTTTTTAAAGCTTTGTTCTCTCTAGCAGGCTCTACATTAGCCGCAATGCTAGTTTTCAACGTTTAGTTGAATAGACTCAACCCATGATGAGGGTTTTGACGGCTTCCAAGTCAGTCCCCTGCATACAGAACCATTATAGCTCATGCTTGCTGTACTGAGCTACTTTGTGGACAGGTTGCTAGGTGTCTCGTGCCTCATCTCCCATATGAGTCTACTGTCATTGGGGGCAGGAGTGCCTATCTGCATCATCGGTAGAAAGCTAGAGCTGGCCCCTTGAAGGCCAAAAAGAGTTCCTTTTGTTACTCCCAGGTCTCAGCTTGCAAAGCCAAACCCTAGCCATTTGCCCAGTTCAGCTGCAAACATACAAATTAGTCCTGTTGTGAGATAAGTCGGTCCAGTTCTTGGACAGACCAATTTGCCTTTCACCAAAGACTGGGTTGGCCTTGGCCTGTTGGGTCAGCAATCTAGCTATGGATTTGGGGAAATCTCTTCCAATCTCTTGTAAGTTCCTCACTATGGATGCCAGCGGGAGGATGTTTATAATCGGCCATCTGCCACTGCACTGCTCCCATCTGGCCGTTTATATACATGGGCCGGATGGGAAGTGGTTAATGAACAGGTCAAATGGTGCAATTAAAATATTTACAGAAATAGATGTTATAAAGAGAATAGCACAACAGAGAAATAAAGGGGACAATGGAGAATACTTGCAAAGTCCAATTGTCCAAGCAAAAACGTTGGTGTGGCTCTCTTGGGTGTCCTTGGTTGATGTTAAAAACAAGAATTTCCTTAACAGGTCAGTCCCTTTTTTGTGATATCAAAGGGGTGTTGACAAAGACCTTCTTACCAATCATCCGGTTTAAGGGATAGGAGCTGGGAGGCTACCATGTTTATGACCAATTTCCAAATGCAATTTCCTATAAATATTCATATTTCTGAATATCGACTATTTACACTCTATTACTACGCAGATTATTGTCCAGCATAAATTTAGCTTCAAAACGGATACAGATATGACAAATCTCATATCTATTTCTCATAGGTGGGGTGTGGAGGCCTAATCCACTCTAGAACCTCCTTACATAGGAATATATGGGTTCAAACGCTACCCAGTTACTGATGAAGGTGATTTTATTCTGGCTAGATTGTCATAATTTCAGAAATTATAAAACATGCTTAAATCTTAGAATCTTGGCTCGTAAGCTGTATATCCACAATGTGTGTTGGCTGTTTTCTTCTGCTGAGCTATTTATAACTGTGGATTTGTTAGTTCTCTTATTTGTTTAAGCTGCAAGGATGAGTTTTATTAGGGACTGGAATGGGGGATTGAACTGCAGACTGGAATGGGGGATTGAACTAATGAACGAATGGGGGATTGACGAATGGGACGGGGCTACAGACTGGAATGGGGGATTGAACGAATGGAGACGGGGCTACGGGGCTAGCCTGGAATGGGGGATTGAACTAATGGAGACGGGGCTACAGCCTGGAATGGGGGATTGAACTAATGGAGAAGTTTGTGTGTCTGTCTGATTAATGGATTGATAACAGTCTTTGTATCAGTTAACAGTTGTTTATTGTGCCAGATGGCTTCCTGGGAAATGTAAGAAGGGAACTAATGCTGCTATTCAACACCATGTGTGATAAACTGTCATGACTGCAATCTGGACAACATGGCGTCCTTGCCCTTTCACCCAGCTTTATGAGGGTTTAGTTACCATTACACTGAGTACCATCAAAATCTTGGTGCTGCCAATCATTCTCCAAAGACTGCTAGCTACGCATTCCTTAGATTTTTTTTTTTTTTTATACAGGGTCTCATATGTCTCCACCTATGTGCTCCTTGGTGACTTTGCGGGATCTGAATTTGGTTATTTTGGCTTTTCAAAAACCACCCTTTCAGCCTATTGTGGATATTCCTTTCCACTCTTCATGCACATGGCTGCATTTCTTGTTGCCATCACCTGTTTAAGGCAGATGTGTGAGCTAATGCCCTTAGCCTGTTTATGTAGAGGCCCCATCATCACCGTGAAAGGTAGAGTCCCTGTGTACAAATTTTGTGTGTGTGTACCCCATGGTGTAGACATTTGTGTCCTAAAGACGGCGCTGTTTACCAAGACGATAATACTCCGATTCACACAGCTGCTGTTGTCAAATTGTGGTTTGACAAGCATACAAATGAAGTCTCGCACCTTCCCTGGGTGTTGCAGTTACCGGACATCAATATCATAGAGCCACCAATTTTGGAGAACAAGGTTTGGGCTTGTTTTCGTCCTCTGGCATCTCTGCGAGGACTGGAACAATTTTTCAATGAAGAGTGGTATCAGATTCCATTACTCACCATTCAAGACTTAGATTAGTCAATTCCCAGAAGAATTCAGGCCGTCTTGGATGCCAAAGGCGCTCTAACCACTGTATTAAGTAATGATTTTGTTCTTTTACCTGGGGTTTCCATAATTTTGTCCAACCCCTGCACAAAGACAGGTGCTACTGACCTTACTTCCTCAGTTAGTTGCAATCTTTCACTTTAACTAGTACATTGCTCTTCCATCTCGGTCCTGTTCCAGTGCAGCAGGAGACTTCCCTCCAATGTCTGTTATACCAGATTGCCACTTTGTCGTTTGCCATTGTCCAAATCTTCCCCTAGGTGGAATTATAACTCCACAGTCATTGAGTTCCTGTGTCCCTCAATCAATAAATATATATATATATATATATATATATATATATATATAAAAAACGCATACACTATATTGCCAGTATTAGGATGCTTGCCTTTACACGCAAATGAACTTTAATGGTAGTGACCACAATTGCTTAGTAGCACAATGTCTGCACTAAAAATAGGCAGCGTTGAAGGGGAAAAATAAAAAAAATATATACACATGCATACACTATATTGCCAAAAGTACTGGGACGCCTGCCTTTACACGCACATGAACTTTAATGACATCCCAGTCTTAGTCTGTAGGGTTCAATATTGAGTTGGCCCCGCCCTTTGCAGCTATAACAGCTTCAACTCTTCTGGGAAGGCCGTCCACAAGGTTTAGGATTGTGTCTATGGGAAGTTTGACCATTCTTCCAGAAGCACATTTGTGAGGTCAGGCACTGATATCAGATGCGAAGGTCTGGCTCAGTCTCCGCTCTAATTCATCCCAAAGGTGTTCTATGAGGTTGAGGTCAATCAAGTTCCTCCACCCCAAATTCACTCATCAATGTCTTTATGGACCTTGCTTTGTGCACTGGTGTGCAGACATGTTGGAACAGGAACGGGCCATCCCCAAAATATTCTCACAAAGTTGGGAGCATGAAATTGTCTAAAATGTCTTAGTATGCTGGCGCTTTAAGAGTTCCCTTCATTGGAACTAAAGGGCCAAGCCCAACCCCTGAAAAGCAACCCCACAGCATAACCCCCTCCACCAAACAAGTACCGGTCTCATGGCAACCACCAAACCCAGACATGTCCATCGGATTGCCAGACAGAAAACGTGATTTGTCACTACAGAGAACATGTCTCCACTGCTCTAGAGTCCAGTGGCGGCGTGCTTTACACCACTGCACCTGACACTTTGCATTGCACTTGGTGATGCAAGGCTTGGATGCAGCTGCTCGGCCATGGAAACCCATTCCATTAAGCTCTCTACTCACTGTTGTTGTGCTAATCTGAAGGCCACACAAAGTTTGGAGGTCTTTAGCTATTGACTCTGCAGACAGTTGGCGACTTCTGCGCACTGTGTGGTCCAGCATGCGCTGACCCCGCTCTGTCATTTTACGTGGCCTACCACTTCGTGGCTGAGTTGCTATTGTTCCCAGTTGCTTCCACTTTGTTATAATCCCACTAACAGTTGACTGTGGAATATTTAGTAGCCAGGAAATGTCACGGATGGACTTATTGCAGAGGTGGTAACCTATCACGGTACCACGCTTGGAGTCACTGAGCTCTTTCACAAATGTTTGTAGAATCGGTCTGCATGCCTAGGTGTTGGATTTTATACACCTGTGGCCATGGACGTGATTGGAACATCTGAATCCAATTATTTGGAGGGCTGGCCAATACTTTTGGCAATATAGTGTACATACATATACACATTTTTACAAAGTGTTTGGGAACATACAGAAAAACGTAATACACAATACCATAGATAAGACCATGTTCCAATGCAGAATCAATATTGTTGTAATGTAGACTGCAGCTCC